CAATGGTCTTGCCAAGCCCTTGGATCTGCTGCGTGTTGGCTCCAATCTCACTCTGCAAGGTAAGAGAGGCTTGCTTCTGCTGCTGCATCTCTGACTCAATGCCATCGAAACGGCTGGCAGTATCTTTCATCTTTTCCTCAAAAAGCTTCGCAACCTTCTCTTCAAGGTCATGTTTGATCTGATCCAATCGCACTGCGCTGGGGCCCTTTGCAGCAAGAGCAACAGACGGTCCTACGGCTGCACTACTCGCCTGCTCAACCCCAGTCCTGGGCACTGCAAGGCCCGCAAAGGGCCATTTCGGCAAATCATCCTGCTTTGCTGGTGACTGATATGCAATAAGCACTGCAAGGTGACCATTGATCAGGAACTCTTTGCTAGGCGGCTCCTTCGCTGACTTGACAAACCAACTATTGGCTCCGAGAGCCCTGGTCACTGTGGCGATCCAGCCATGGGCGCGCAGGGCATCAGTGAGGGCCTGCTTCGTGGTCTGCGTTCGCACATTGCACAGCTTATACTGCAGTGATGAATCAACGTCATCGGGCTCAGACTCAGAGAGAATGACATCAGGATTCAAACCTCTCTTAATCTTGCGCACATCCTCACGCTTGCAACGAATGCCAAATCCCTCCCGCATCTTGACAACCCCAAGGGCACTGGCGTGCATCTGTGCAACTGCAAGCGCTTCCTGCTTGGTCTTGTCTCTCACAGGGACAACGGCAAAACGCTCATCCCGCGCTCCTGCACCTGCCTTGGTATTCACGAAGATACCGTCTCGGCCCGACAGGGCAAGGAAGGGAAGAAGATGATCATCTCGCACTCTGAGAAAGCCATGCATGTGTGACGCACTGGTGTGATCCTGGCGGCATGGAAATCTCTGGGAGTCGTAAACTTTCAGATGCCACTTGCTCAAGACCCCCTCAGTGCAATTCACTCCTGCATGTGACTTAGCAATGTGCGTAACAATGTCACTAACTGCCGTGGCCCACTTACTGCACGACTTGTCAACAATGACTTCAAGCACAGTGGACTTTACCTCAGCAACTGTGAGCTCAGGGCACGCTGGCTTATGGTAAATTGCAATGTCACCGAACTGCAGCAAGTGCCCCTGCATGAGCGCAACACGACCCTCGGCATTGCAGGCAGTGTACTGAATGGGGCTTTCAGTTTGCTCAGGCATAGGCTGTGTGGTAAGGATGGCAAGGCCGTCTGTGGACATCTTCTTTGGGGGCATGAATGCCTTGGCCTGCTGTGGCGTCATGACACATATGCCGCTAGCGTCAGTGCTGAAATCAGCAAATGCAAGGCTAGGCACAACTTGATCGTCCGCCTGGAAGTCGGCAGACACAAGCTTGAGGTCAGTGGTGTCAATCTGCCGCTGACGCTTGCCTTTCTTGCCACCACCTTTGATGGACCACTCCTCAGTGCCTGTTGCAGTGCTGCTGTCAGTGGTAGATCTTGAGGCTGCACGCTTCTCTGTCTGGAATTGACGAAGCTCACCGGGATAAATCAGGCGGACGCTGTGGCGTGAGGCTTCTTGCTTGAGTTTATCCCAAAAAGTGGCATCCTTGGGAAGCTTATCAAACAAATCAGTGCCAAGGCGGGAGATCACAAGACCAGCTCTGTCCTGCGCAACATCACTGGGCACGCCTCTCTCAATCAGTGCACCCTTAAGGAAAGCATTGCGATCAGGCCCTCCTTTACCTTTTCCACCTTTCTTCGCACCTCCATGCAAGGGGAAAACACGGAAAGAGACAACACCATTGCACATGCTAACAGCAGTGTCAAGAGGGGTCTCAGCGCCATTGACAAATGCACGGACCTCTTCTGGCCACTCCGGATGCTTGGCAATGACATCATGCAGGCAAAGGTCCTCACGCATGAAAGACACAATGACACGGGGCCAAGCAGGGCCACGGTACCACAACTCATGATCAGTGCTGCTTCTGCTTTGCGCCAGACACTTGGTTCCATGTTGCCCTCCACGAACACACTCAGTGAGGCAATCAATCTCATGGGCAGACCACAGATTTTGCCCCCCGTTGATGGGGAAGGTGCGCACAATGAAGCTCCTCGCTGGGTAATGCCACACACAGCTGACATGATCAAGCATGGCCAATCCATTCTGAAGCCGAATGCAAGCCGTGCACACACCTATGCGGTTAGCAATGAGTGCAATGACATCACAGGCAGACATGAAGGGCCAAATCACAACGTCCAATGTGCGAAGTGAGCCTCCAATGCGACACTGAATGGTACGTGTCTCAAAGCCAATATGCAGTGCAATGGGTCCTTGAATGTGCAATCCGACATCGCAAGGCGATCCCTGGCAGCAAACAACGTATGAGGCTGGGGACACTCCCGGCAAGGCTTGCTGAAGCACATGTGCAATGGTATCACCTCTACATGCAGTTCCACTCCATGCCCATCTGCCCTCATCATGGGTGATGCAGACTTTGCAATTCTGTGCAATCTCAGAACGGATGTCATCAGGTCCACCGCTTGTTATGTTGCAAAGTGCGTCAGGGCTTACGAAAAGCAGGTCACGGATGCACGTCTCAGGCAACACAAGGCAAAGGACATCAGGCTTGCACTTCTTGGTTGGCGGTTCAAGGATCCTGCAGCTCTGGGACTCAACAGCGAAGGGAACCGTCGGGGTAATGGGGGTCAAAGCATCATTCTTCGACTCAGCTGGCTGGAAGCGATGATACTGGCTGTCCGCATAGGTGCAAATCTGATGAAAAGTGCCACGCACCCCCGCAACACCTGTCAGATCCGACCACACGCAGAAGAGCTTGAACCATCCATGAGCTGCATGAATTGGTGCAAGGCAATTCCCAAATGCGCGGTATGCAAACACGTCCTTAGTAGCCTGAGCCGTACTGGCTGGGAACCCTAAGATCGTGGCAAGCTCTTGGCAATGGAAAAAGCGAATCCCCCGGCTGTCACCAATCACAAAGGCATGCAATCCATTCTCTTGCAGAAAACCATCTGAGAAAGCAATGTTCGTCCGGTACGATGCCATGAGGGCCGGGAGGTGCGAATGCTGGTCCAACACACGAAAACGCTTGATAGCAGTGGCATCTGTTCCATGCTTGGCACGTTCCCATGCAGGCAAGAAGCGTGGGTCAAGCAGGCGCTTCAGGTCTTCCGCACTGACTTTCAATGCATCCCACTCCTGTTCAGTCAGGTGATTCATGATCGAATCTGTGGTGCCAAGAGTTGGCCTGGGCTGCACACACGGCATGGTAATTCCAGTGAGCCGCATCAGACACTCCTTACTAAGCTGCAAATCGTCACGTACCAGGAAAAGCAACAGCCTCTTGCGTGCAATAGGCCGGATGGCTCGGATGTCACTCTTGTCAACCTGAATGAGACGAAAGCCCGCCCACTTGAAGAGCTGCTTCACCAGCTCCCATTGGGGATGAGAGGCCATGCCAATCACATTCTCCAGAGCCGCAATGCATGGCTGCATGATCTTCAGGTTGATGGCTGTGTCAATGATGTTGAGGCCAAGCTCACTAGCCAGTCCATCACGGCAGGCCGTTGACGACCAAGGCTGACAGCTAGGCGAACCCACAGCTACCGCTATGTTGTGCACAGTAAGTCTGGACAATACTGCACGATTGGATACACTGGCACACAGCATGAGCGCATCCATGTTCTCAATCTCAAGCCAAGGTATCGCACAGAAGGCATCATCCTTCATGGTGTCCCACCCCAGCATGCTTGATGCCAAATCAGCAGTTCGCAAGTCACACTCAATGCCAAAGGCAATCTGTGGTGCATGCTGTGAAAGGAAGGGCAACAGAAAACGCTGTCCGTGCACCCATCCCCCGATTCCCGCAAAGAAATCAACCGCACACCCTGTCTGCGAAACCGTTCCATGCTTGAACAGTAGGGAATCCATCGTCAAATGCATGAATGCAATGGAGTCCTGGCACACCACCCGAAAATGCACTGCTGTCATAATTACGTCCTTCTCCATCCTGAAAGCCAGATGTTGCTGTATGGGCACTTCCAGCTGTACCGAAAATACCCCTGTGTTGCATGCAAAGGAGGAGCGAGATGGAGCGCCAATGGCTGACCAATAAACACGATCCACTGCCCAACCATCCACCGCGATCAGCTTCTGCAGCTTGACGTAACAAGATCCGGTGTCGCTGTCCACAGCACGGGACATCATCGCATATTGCCCAACCATGTCGGCAATGTCATGCTGCCAATCCGCGGGCAAACCCGCAGACGACAGATGCCGATCCAGGCACGGCTCCATGTCTGTTGATGCCTACCAGCCACTGGGAGGCCTGGAGCCAATGGCTACTACCACTCAACCAACCAAAAACCGTGTTTTTGCAAAACAAAACAAAACAAAAAACGGACGGCTGGTTCCGAACCACCAAGACGCTTGATTCTGGCCAAAGCCGTTGAAGCCAAAAGCACATCGCTTGCGTGATTCTCAAGAGCAAACTGGCTTCATGAAAGTGACCTCCTCAAAGTTCACACCGCGACACCTTTAACGCAAGCACCGTCCTCCTCCCCCCCCACCCCCCAGCCTCCCCCCAAGAAAAAAAGGATTCCTAGATGGCCAAGTTGCGATCGCTTTGTTCAGTCACTGTTGCTGGCTGGGGTAAAGTGGATGGGAAAAAAAGAGCGATTCGCAACTGGATCGATCCAGGCTGCGACTTTTGAGAAGACCTCAACAGTTGGCTTCCTCTTGACGTGCCTTCAGGCCCTTACAGGCGCAAGAAACACCGTTTTCAGAGACACCGTATGAAGAGGTCAAAAGGCGATCGCTTCATGGTGTCTCACAAATCGGGAAACCACGAAATGGCCGGGGTGTCCTCTGAATTGTCCCTCTTAGGAGCCAACCCCCAACAAAAAAGAAAGGTACCGGAGAAAAAAAGAAAAAGGTCACCAAAAATAGGTATCAACTCCGAAAAGCTCCAAGCACGACGCGGCCAGATGGGGCGAGAGGCGCCAAATGAGGCGCGGCAGCTCCACTACCGGTCGCTCCTCGGGCGATTGGACTTTTCTTGTGTTTTTCTTCATTTCCTCGGGGGTCCCACCCCCAAACCCGAGAAAACCTCCGGTTTTGTGCGGATTTTTGGGGCAAGGGCCGGACTGGGAACTGGGCTGCGAAGCCGAAAAAGCCCCAAAGCCAACCCTTGGTGCGGCTTGGCAGAAAAAAAAGACTGTGTCTTTTGCAGCCCAATCGAAATGAACAGAACCTAAAATCCTGAAAACCTAAACAGATTGCCATCAGTGAAGAGCCTCAAACCCGAAAGAAACCAGAAAAGAAAAGCCTTCCGACCATAGCAGCGGCTCGTCATTTTTGGGGAATCGGACCCCAATTGGCTTTGGCAGTCCTTTCGTTTTCCCTTGAAGTATGAGAAAAGGGTCAAACTCAAGCAAGACAGAAACAAAAGCTGCCAGAATGCATTTGCTCTTGGTGTTCCATGCTCTCGGGGGGGGGTTTTGTGCTGATCCTGCGGTACTCCATGGGTTGCTCTCGCTTTCGACGAGCTCTGCAGATCCAGGATCTGCTGGGCGTTGAGTGGGTGACATGGTTCCCCCCAGCTAACCAAAAACCCCTTCAGAACCGACGGCTGGCACATTTCGCACCAACAGATCTGCGGAAAAAATGCGCCATGGTTTCTGGAAACCAAACGCCTGGTTTTGCAACTCTGCGGGTGCTTCAGACAGCGACTCCTTTTCTCCGTCTCCCAGGCCCCAAAAAGGAAGCAAATTTGGTCATGGGTCAAAATCCAAAACCCGTACCCCCAGTGAACATCCCAATCCAACCACTAAAATAGGTTCCAACATGGGTGGTGAATTCACCTACCAACCAAAATGGGATCCCATTGGTTTTAACAACCACGGCCATTGTTTTTTCATGACTCAAAGGCCGATACTTGAGTCAAACAACAAGCACTATAATTAGGTGTCCTTTTGAGGGAAGTAGATGGCCCTGGTAGATGATTAAACCACCAACCAAGTAAACCAGGGCCATCAATTGTTCTACCAAAACAACCAAACAGGACACCTATGACAAGCACATGAACAATCTTGCAGGCTCTGTCAGGCTGAAACTTCGTGAGCTTCCGGTAGACTTGGAAATGTTGACCAAGCCTATGGACGAAGTAGAGTCTGTCTTTATTGAGGGTACCCCCTGTTTGGTGTCAAGGAGCCGGTTGGTTTCAAGGAGCCAAAAGGAAAACCGAAGCCATTTTGTGAGGGTCCCCCGAAACAGACACGCCCAAAGAGGTCCCGTGAAAGTTTTGCTGGAAAACCCAATCTACCTTGAAGAGCTGATGCGTGCATCACCCAAAAGGGGCATTTCTTGGGACCCCATGACTTCTGAGGTTTGGGGATGATCTTGGCCGCCTTTTGAAGGGTTTTTCGAGCAAAGTCCCCGTCTCACCGAAGCTGAGTGAGTGGGGCGAAGCCTTCTTTAATCGCCCAGGACCGCATGAATCTTTTTTCGGGCATTCCCTTGGGTTGAGTAGGCCAGGGTCGCAAAATCGGGGAGTAGGATCCTTTAGGCAACCAAAACGAGCGACCCAAGCACCCGGACAAAACTCCAGTTTTTGACTCTAGGGTGTCCCTTCTGCGGAAACCCACGTATGGGTAAAAGTCTGCTTTGGGGGAGTTGACAAATGGAATCCTGAACCCAAGTAGCCTTAAAACCAAACTTTCCCCAACCAACCCGTCTCCAACCGGCGTGCGACAAAAGTGTCATTAGTTCTGTCTTTCTGTCTTTCTGTCTTTCTTTCTTCTTTCCGTCCTTCCTTCCTTCCTTCCTTCCTTCCTTCCTTCCTTCTTTTTTTCTTTCTTTCTTTCTTTCTGTTTTATTTTCTGTTCTTTTCTTTTCTTTTCTTTCTGTCTTTCTTTTCTTTTTCTGCTCTTTCTTTATTTATTTTTTCGTTCTGTCTTTCTTTCTTTCTTTCTTTCTTTCTTTCTTTCTTTCTTTTGTTCTTTCTTTCTTTCTTTCTTTCTTTCTTTCTTTTTTTCTTTTCTTTCTCTCTCTCTCTCTCTCCCTCCCTCTCTCTGGCTCTCTCTCCCTCCCTCCCTCTCTCTCTCTCTCTCCCTCCCTCGCTCTCTCTCTCTCTCTCTCTCTTTCTCTCTCTCTCTCTCTCTCTCTCTCTCTCTCTCTCTCCGTCTCTCTTTGGGTGACCTTTCCATGGGCTCCTTTCAGCTGCTACATGTTTGTCCCTAGAACCCGCTTGGACCCCCCCCTTTTTTCCAGGTCTCAAACTCTCTCGCCGAGCCGCTTGCACAGCTCGGACAAAACGGAGGTGCCCGGGGACGGGATCCACCATCGCTTCAACTCCGCCTACCGTGCCGACCGCTTCGCTCCGCTTCGCTCGACCGTCGCCTTTTTTTCTCGAGCGTCCTCCGACGCGTGCCGAAGATTAATATAGTGTTTGCGGTTGGGAACCACTTGGGATTTTGATGGCTCATCATGGCTCGTCTCACCCTGCCGGCTTTCGGCTTGGCAGTCGAAACCCCTCGCCCGCCTCCTCCACTTGCAGCTCCTGGCAGAATCAGACGGCGAGGAATGGGCAACTCTTGGCCGCTGGCTTGCGACTGGTTTTCGTAGTTGGTCCGCGTTTTCACGGGCATTTTGTGGATGGCCCTCTTGATTTGGACGGTAGTCATAATCAAAACCCGGTAGTACAATGGTCGGAATCCCAGAACCATATAAAGAATATTAAACCGGCGGCTGCAACTAATTCTGGCCGGGACTTTCCCTTACTGCCCTTCATCTACCCGAATCGGTTTTGATTCTCGCTCAAATGGTCTGAGAGTTGAATCCCATGGCTATCCTTTGCCATGGCTACAGCTTGGACTTACCATTGGGTGGGTTCCAAGCGGGCGATTCAACTCCCAGACCATCAGCTCCGGGCCCTCGGCAAGGAGCAAGAGGTTCCCGCGCCCTAAGACATGCATGGAATGTGCTTCGCAACCAACCCACCAACCAGCCACCCACTCACCCATTCATGGAACATATATGGGTGGCTCGTCCTTCTTTGAGGCTGGACCCACCAAAATGGATGAGTTTTCCTCTTGGCGTCCCTTTAAAACCAACCAAAACAGATTCCCCCAGACCCATACAGCCCCTTACCCTACGGCCCATGGTTTCCAAACGTCCAAAGAAATCTTGGCGGCTCAAGCTGGGGAAATATCTCAGAAGGGGTTCCCCCGTGAGCGCCTTGGCCCCTTAATTGTCGTGAGGGCCGAAAGGAATTTCTGGACGAAATGAATCGAAAGCTCGGCTCCCATGGGACTGTCCCTTAGCCTTCTGCACGGGATGCGACTGACAAGCATGCGATATGCGACCCGCTGAGGCAATCAGCCGCTAGCAAATCTGAAAAGACCGTGTGGGTGGTGTCCAAAGTCGGCCCCCCCTTTTAAAAGTTCTATGACAAACAAGCCGCCCAGAATCTGCAAAGCGCTTTTTCTCCTGACACCATTTAGAAAATGATGGCTCAGGGTGGTCTTTCTCGAACGGTTCTCATCAAAAGCCGGGTTTCGGCTTACAGAAAAGGTCGTTCTTCGAAAAACAATTTCACGCCTCGCGGCCTCGAGCAGTTGAGCCATCAAAACTCAACCCAGGTGGGTTCCGTGATACCGAGAACTCTGAAGCTGTGCAATGCTTGTCCAAATTCCCGAGTGCATGACCAAAATGGCTCTGCCTTTTTTGGAGCTGGTACCCCTGTTTTGATCTGGTTTGAAGGGAAACCCAATGGAAAACAACAAAAGCAAAACTTGGTGGGGGGGCTCCCCCAAAACGAAAGACTTTGCCGCCGTCCAATCTGAGTCGCCTCCCCTTCGCCCCGGTCTCCTGGACTCCTGCGAGCAAGGTCTCGCCGGAGTTGATGTCCTTAGGTCGAAGGTCGCACGATCACAGGCGACCTTCAGGAGAGTGGCACTTTCCATTGGCAGGGATCTACTTTTTGACTGCAGAGTAGGCTGAAACCCAAAAGTCATCGAGTTTCCTCAAAAGGAGTTGAGTCTATCTTCGGGTGGTCAAAAAGTGGAACCCGGACCATAGGTGTCCTTTTGGTTGAAAATGGTTAAAAATAGATGGATATCCCTGGTAGATTGTGAGTTAGAACCAGGTCAACCAGGACAACCCGGTCAACCAGGTCCACCAAAAAAATGCGAACACCCATGGAACTTACTTAACTCTTGGAAATGGGTCGCCGCAGCCCCCATGCCCATTGTCCGTCCAAAACGGGCTTGAAACAAGCTCAAAGCAACCAGTGCAAACGTACCGAGGTTACGTTTGTGCCGGACCCAATGGACTTTTGCTTCGACCAAGATAGTGGGATAATGTTGAACCATATTAATCAACCCCAGTTTACTATTACGGGGTGTCCCTGGGTTTAATGGGGAATCAACACTTTTGGAGGGGAACCCCCTTATTCATAAACAGGTTGGTTGATTCATAAACAGGTCAACCACTTTCCAACGTCTCCGGCGAAACGCAAAACGAGGACGGGGGAAGATTCCAAAGTGGCGCCAACATGAAACCAGCCAATTGGAAGTGCGCCTAACTCACTTGTCCAGTTTGGACCTGGAAATATTGGGACCTCTACTAAAAATGGACTAAGGGAAACCAAGTTGAACGACTGAGCTTATTTTGACCCATCGTATGACGTTTCCTCATCCCAATGCTTCCTTCGGCATGGGTAGGCTTGCAAAATGACTGCCATGAAATGTGCAACTCAGCCTATCAGAAACGATAGCAAATGCCCATGTGTGGGTGTTGATTGAAAACAGGAAGTGGTCAAACTGAAGCAGCGGGAGAGAGATAATCCTTTTCAACAGAAACCTTTGATGTTTTCCTTCAAATACTTTTTCGGGTGACATCTTGACCCCAACCAGGTGTTTTGAAAACAAAAAAGCGGTGCGCTTGAGCTCCTCCTTTCATGAAGGGGAAACAAACGCTGCCTCAATCTGTGTGTACCTGGAGTCTCCTTCTGACCCTTTAAAAATAGGTCCATGACCCCATTATTTAGGGCAATGACCCTATTTTTGTTAAGGGTCATGGAGACTCTAGGTACGTGTCTTTTCTGCCCAAAGGCTCTGGCCGGGCCTTCATTTTTTTACTTTTTTTTAAAAGAAATGTTTGAGGGCCCTCCCTTAGGGGCCTTAGCAGGGGCCATGAGCGTCTGGGTGAGAAAAAAAGAAAAAGATGCGCTGAGGTAGCACATCACGGCCCCTCGGAAGACCCTACTGTGGATGGGCGAAATCCATTTCGCAGCTCCTGAGAAACCCTGCGATGCTTCCCCTATAAATTCCAACAATCGTTATGGTTTGCCATGGTTTCACAGTGGTGCGAACGGATTCTGTCCATCCACCTACGGCGCTTTCTAGGCGAAGCTATCTTCTTGGATCCTTCTTGACCAAGAAGGGAAAACGAAACGCCCACGATCGACCTGTGCGGGCTCTTGTTCCTTTTGTCTTCTTCTTGGCACCTTGACATCTCAAAGTAGGGTCGCCCTTGCCCCATTTGTGGCTGAAACACTCTACATGGGTGCTTATTTAAAACAAAGAATGGAAAAGCATGCACCATCAGGGACATGCACTGAGCAACATCACCCTTGTGATGCCAAAGGGGGGTTGTTTCATATCACAGCAAGTGGCCGACAATCAGCAGGGATGCTTAGAGATGATCCATCCCCTTCGTGGCTCCCCCTTTTCGAAGCAAGGCCATGATGGCCCAAACCCCAACTCGGTTGAGCAGTGCAAAAACAAACATTGACCTTTATATGGTCACATGGCTGTGAGTCATAAATGTGTGCCCAAAATCGAACCCTGGTAAATAGAAATAAGGACTAGCCCTGCGGTCCCCTAGTGGTTTAATTTTGACCCATGCCCATATTGTGGATGGAGGAAATCCGGCACCTACGAAACCCTGGAATGTTGATTTTCCCTCCTGTGAATACGAACCAACAAATGGCTTTCCATGGTTTTCAGGTGGTGTAGGACTTCATCCATCCAACATATCCCCAACAAACTTGGCAGAAACATCAGCTGCTAAAATGATTCCACCCCCCCCCCCCCCCCCGTTTCAGGTCGACACACCCAAACCCACCCAGTAAACCCACCCATCCTAAAGCAAGCCTGAACCGCTCAAACCCATGGCTTCACGAAGCTCCAAGCTGAGAAAGAGTCACCTCCATCAAACCTCCCAAACCAACTGCCACTGCCATCAAACCAACCAAACCGAACCAACCAAACCAACCAAGCCAAACCAAACCCAAACCAAAACCAAACCAAACCCAAAACAAAACCAAAAAAACACCAAAGCCAAACCAAACCCAAACCAAGCCCGAACCAAAACCAAACGCAAACAAAACCAAAGCCAAACCAAACCCAAACCAAACCGAAACCAAAACCAAACCAAACGCAAAACAAAACCAATGCCAAACCAAACCCAAACCAAACCCAAACCAAACCGAAACCAAAACCAAACCAAAACCAAAACCAAACCAAAACCAAACCAAACCAAAACCAAACCCAAACCAAACCCAAACCAAAACCAAACCAAAATATAAACCAAAACCAAACCCACACCCACGCCAAACCCACACCAAGCCAAACCCAAACCCACACCAACCAACATCAACCAACATCAGCCAAAATGAACCAAAACCAACCAACATCAACCAACATCAACCAACATCAACCAAAACCAACCAACATCAACCAACATCAACCAACATCAACCAACATCAACCAAAACCAACCAACATCAACCAACATCAACCAACATCAACCAAAACCAACCAACATCAACCAACACCAACCAACATCAACCAACATGAACCAAAACCAACCAACATCAACCAACGTGAACCAAAACCAACCAACATCAACCAACATCAACCAACATGAACCAAAACCAACCAACATCAACCAACATCAACCTGATGTTGGTTGGTTTTGGTTCATGTTGGTTTTGGTTTGGTTTTGGTTGATGTTGATTGGGTTTGGTTGGCGTTGGTTGATGTTGGTTTGTTTTTGGTTGGTTTTGGTTTGGTTTTGGTTGATGTTGGTTTGGTTTTGGTTGATGTTGATTGGTTTTGGTTGGTTTTGGTTGATGTTGATTGGTTTTGGTTGGTTTTGGTTGATACTGGTTTGGTTTTCGGTTGGTTTTCGGTTGGTTTTGGTTTGGTTTCGGTTGGTTTTGGCTGGTGTTGGTTTGGTTTTGGTTGGTTTTGGTTGGTTTTGGTTGATGTTGGTTGATGTTGGATTGTTTTTGGTTGGTTTTGGTTTGGTTTTGGTTGATGTTGGTTTGGTTTTGGTTGATGTTGATTGGTTTTGGTTGGTTTTGGTTGGTTTTGGTTGATGTTGGTTGGTTTTGGTTGTGTGTTGGTTGGTTTTGGTTGATGCTGGTTGGTTTGGGATGTGTGTTGGTTGGTTTTGGTTGATGTTTGTTTTGTTTTGTTTGGTTTTGTTTGGTTTTGGTTGATGTTGGTTGGTTTTGATTGATGTTGGTTTGGTTTTGGTTGATGTTGATTGGTTTTGGTTGGTTTTGGTTGATGTTGGTTGGTTTTGGTTGATGTTGGTTTGGTTTTGGTTGGTTTTGGTTGGTTTTGGTTGGTTTTGGTTGATGTTGGTTTGGTTTTGGTTGATGTTGGTTTGGTTTTGGTTGATGTTGGTTTGGTTTTGGTTGATTGTTTGGTTTTGGTTGGTTTTGGTTGATGTTGATTGGTTTCGGTTGGTTTTGGCTTGGTTTTGGTTTGGTTTTGGTTGGTTTTGGTTTGGTTTTGGTTGATGTTGATTGGTTTTGGTTGGTTTTGGTTGATGTTGGTTGGTTTTGGTTGTGTGTTGGTTGGTTTTGGTTGATGTTGGTTGGTTTTGGTTGGTTTTGGCTTGGTTGTGGTTGATGTTGATTGGTTTCGGTTAATGTTGGTTGATGTTGTTTGGTTTTGGTTGGTTTTGGTTTGGTTTCGGTTAGTTTTGGCTGGTGTTGGTTTGGTTTTGGTTGATGTTGATTGGTTTTTGTTGGTTTTGCTTGTGTGTTGGTTGGCTTTGGTTGATGTTGGTTTTGTGTTGTTTGGTTTTGGTTGGTTTTGGTTGATGTTGGTTGGTTTTGATTGATGTTGATTTGGTTTTGGTTGATGTTGATTGGTTTTGGTTTGTTTTGGTTCATGTTGGTTGGTTTTGGTTGATGTTGGTTTGGTTTTGGTTGATGTTGGTTGTTTTGGTTGATGTTGGTCGGTTTTGGTTGTGTGTTGGTTGGTTTTGGTTGATGTTGGTTGGTTTTGATTGATGTTGGTTTGGTTTTGGTTGGTTTTGGTTGGTTTTGGTTCATGTTGGTTGATGTTTGTTGATGTTGCTTGGTTTTGGTTCGTGTTGGTTGATGTTGGTTGGTTTTGGTTGATGTAGTTTGCATCCCCCCAAAAACGGCGAGGTCATGGGGAGTGTCATATCTTGATGCTGGTCGCATCTGGTCGCTGTTGGAGGTACCTCGATGGTGTGGTGGCCCATATGGGTATCGGAAACTATGGGCTGGCTGGGTTCAGAAATTACGCTCAGCCAAGGCATTGTCCAGCTCTAGTCTCCAGTTGGTTGTTGTTGGTTGATGTTGGTTGGTTTTGGTTGATGTTGGTTGATGTTGGTTGGTTTGCAAACCAACCAAAACCAAACCAACATCAACCAAAACCAACCAACATCAATCAAAACCAACCAACATCAACCAAAACCAACCAAAACCAAACAAAACAAAACAAACATCAACCAAAACCAACCAATACACAACCAAAACCAACCAACATCAACCAAAACCAACCAACCAACCAAAACCACCAACATCAACCAAAACCAACCAAAACCAACCAAAACCAATCAACATCAACCAAAACCAAACCAACATCAACCAAAACCAAACGAAAACCAACCAAAAACAAACCAACATCAACCAACACCAACCAAAACCAATCAACATCAACCAAAACCAAACCAACACCAGCCAAAACCAACCGAAACCAAACCAAAACCAACCGAAAACCAACCGAAAACCAAACCAGTATCAATCAAAACCAACCAAAACCAATCAACATCAACCAAAACCAACCAAAACCAATCAACATCAACCAAAACCAAACCAACATCAACCAAAACCAAACCAAACCATCAACCAAAACCACCAACACCAGCCAAAACCAACCGAAACCAATCAACATCAACCAAAACCAACCAAAACCAAACCAACATCAACCAAAACCAAACCAACATCAACCAACATCAACCAAAACCAATCAACATCAACCAAAACCAAACCAACACCAACCAAAACCAACCAAAACCAAACCAACACCAGCCAAAACCAAACCAACACCAGCCAAAACCAACCGAAACCAATCAACATCAACCAAAACCAACCAAAACCAATCAACATCAACCAAAACCAAACCAACATCAACCAAAACCAAACCAACATCAACCAAAACCAAACCAACACCAGCCAAAACCAACCGAAACCAATCAACATCAACCAAAACCAACCAAAACCAAACCAACATCAACCAAAACCAAACCAACATCAACCAACATCAACCAAAACCAATCAACATCAACCAAAACCAAACCAACACCAACCAAAACCAACCAAAACCAAACCAACACCAGCCAAAACCAAACCAACACCAGCCAAAACCAACCGAAACCAATCAACATCAACCAAAACCAACCAAAACCAATCAACATCAACCAAAACCAAACCAACATCAACCAACATCAACCAAACCCACCTCCTCTGGCCCCCCGGCCCCCCCCCCCCCGTCGGCCTGCCCCCCGCCGCCCCGAGCTCAGGAGGGCGCGCAGGGCTCGGAGGGCTCCAGGGCACAGCTCAGGCGGCGCCAGGTGCCGTTGGTCGATCCCTCGACGATCCGACGGCGGCTCGCGGCGCGCGGCAAGCGGCGCGCGGCGCGGAAGGCTCGGACGCGGCCGTGGAAAGTCGAAGTTGGCAGAGGAAAAATCCGGCGTTTTCATGGTGGTGTCTTCCTTTCTAAGTATTCCTTCCTCTTTTTTGGGGGGGGGGAGGGGTGGGGAGGGGGGGGGGTTGAGGAGGGGTGGTTCTAGTATTTTGTTTGATGTTTTTATGTGTTCTGGTTTTTGGGGGCGACAATTCACGACCCTTCATTCCCAAACAAGTCTCACGTTCTAAGAAAAGTCGAAACCATGCTTCGCACCCACGCACAGCCGAGGACAAAGTCAGGGGCCCGGCTCATCGATTCGTTTCTCTGGGGTGTTTGCACCGAAACCCATGCTACTTTTTGGCTGGGCAAGACATAGATGCCGTGCGGGTGGAACCAAAAACGGAAAAAGTTTGAGAGTTGGGTTGAAAACCAAATGGGAGTTGGTGGGAAAAATGAGCGAGACTTGGAGATTCAGGAGCTCCCTCTCATAGCGTAGAAGCCATCTTGCAGGCACCCATGTCTTCCGGTGCTTTGCTCACCCATCAATGGAATCCGGTTCCCTAACACTCCTGAGCAACCCTAAGGAATTCTAGGGATCCCCACTAGCCTTGCACCTACGCCCCTTTACTCCAATCCGGGCACCTTGGAGGACCTCCAGCCGACAAACGGAATGCAAAGCCTGGCAAAGCTCGGCTGCCGAGCCGCAGGTTGGAGAACACTTTTCCCCCCAATCCAAGGGGCTGCAATGCATCGTTGATCTCAAGTGCATGCTAATCAGGGGCCTGATCGCACATTTGGGTGTGGGGTTCACGCCCATCTATACACCTAAATCTACATTTGCAGCTACATTTATAGCTACATCTACGTCTGTCTCGATCTTTCTATGTGTATCTACATCTATCTATGTAGGGTTGGACAGGTCTTAGTCTCTTTTTTCCTCATTTACCAGGGTGCCCATTTTGGGCTCCATGTATCTGAGCCACGGCTATTTGGGCTCCGGGAGCCCCAATTCGATGGCTCGAGACACGCGGATCGAATGCGGAGCCTCGTCGCAGAGCCACCAGCGGCCGCCACAAGAACGGAAGGAGCCTGGGCGAGGGGTCCAAAAGCCGGAGAAGTCGGGCAGGCAAGTGGATAAGCTCCCAGGAAACGTTTACTCACCAACCTCGAAATACAAGGAACAAGCCTGGGTCTTGACTACATATGGAATTGGAGAACACCAAAAGGTCATTTTCTTCCCTGGGGAAATGCCTGGTTTTTGAAAAGAACGATGGCCGAAAAGAATGGTTGGAATCACCCCCTAGACATTTGGGACCTTTCTTGGGTTTAGGCGAACCATCCATTTGAACATCCAGTCCCAGAGAGTGCGCCGGCACAATTCCTGAGAAGCTGAGTGGGTGGTTTCCGCGCACGTACAAACGGGTGGCTTGTCTTTTTGGAGTTCATACCGTTGTTGGGGTGGTTTTAAAGGGAGACCAAAAGGAAAAAACAGGACTTTGCCCTGGATTTGCTTTTGGTGTCCCTTGGAACCAGAACTCCAAAAAAACGACGAGCCACCCGTCTTGGATAACTTGTTACCCGTCTGAATACATGGGAAGTTGCTGGCCCCTTCTTTCCATGGGACCTTTTGAGGCCTCAAGCACAACAGCCAGACATCTGGGGGTTGAGCAAAATATTCCGTGAAAGGCCCCCCAGTTTTGACCATCATTAGCTTTTCCCATTTCGTGGGGACATTATCATCTGCCGCAATTGTCATCCCACGTAAAGGACCGCTTGATTCACATCCCGACGGATGCTTCAGCCTCGGTAAGCCTTGAGGCCACTGAGTCTTGGCACATGGCAACTCATGATTCTACCCTCAAAGAAACCACGTGCTTGGCTCAAGCAAAGGACAAAAACAGTTGAAGAGTTGCTGACTTTGATGCCCCCCCCAAAACAAAAAAGCAAACAGTGAACATATTGACCTAGTTGCGTTCATACCATGCCCCTAGGGTCATACGGTCCGGACCGGTTTCAGAATGGCATTGCCAAAGAGTTCCGCTTTCAGCTCCCCTTTTTTGGAGTTGGTGCAGTGCCCCTTCGTGGCGAGTTCACAAGGAAACCACCTGCATTTTCGCGGAGGTGGTCCCGATTCCCAAAAGCCGCCCCTAAGAAACTGGCAAGCTTCCTCTTTCCAACGGCGTCCGTCAGACATCAACCACCCTCTCCGCAAGCCATACCTCGTGGAAAGAGGGGCTTCATACGAGCTCATGCGCTGCGCCAACTCGTTCCACCGATTTGAGGCAGAAGTCCGTGGCGAGCAGGCCGGCGTGCATGTTGGGCGCGCACCCTCCGCTCTGCCGTCGACGCCTTCACTCCTCTACAAGCCAATGTTCAATGTGGACAATCCTGGCGCCTCAAGAGCATTGCTACCAGCAGCACCCAGCCAAGAACAAGCTTCTCCGGGAGGGGGGGGGAGCACTAATTCCTCCGAGTGCCGCAGAGATAGTGGCAATCCTTCTGCAAAGTTTCCTATAATTCCAACAGCTGAATTGAGGGATCCCCAAGGAAAGGACCTTCATCATGATGAGCTCAGTATACCCACAGGTGAGCTCGCTTGAAAATTGGCAGAATCATTGCGCCACCTGTTTCCCCATATCCCGAAAAGCCGCCCTCGGACCTCTGAAAGGAGAAGGTGTGGCTCCCTACAGTACCATGGTGACTATACTGGATAGGTCATGCCACAGAAACCAGGTTCCCAGGACCAATAAATTTGCGCTTCGCAATAAACGTGTCACATTGAAAACAAGAAGACCTTCACTTTTCGTGGAAATCTGCAGGGTTGCATTCGGGGGCGGGCATGGGAGACCCACTAGCTACATAGGCTCTCCTTTTTTCTTCGAAACCCCTTCTGGTTCTAAGGAAAAGGACAACCGCATGTTTGTTGCGTCGTGGTTCCCCTATTTAGAGAGGTTGCAACCGTACCGGCTCCTGCGAAAAGCGAAAAGCCAAGGCCGCGGGATCCAAGGGGCAATGCACGCGCGAGACGTTGGCCAGGGACGCGTCCTTGGAGCCGCGGCGATTTTCCGAGGTCGAAGGCAGAGGAACGTGGGATCCGTTCATGAACGCATAGTGATAGCCTCCCTTTAGAACTTTAGATCCAACAGGGGAAATTTGGTTGGGATCCATGTGCATTTGTATCCCCTAAACCAAAAATGTCCAAGAGTGATAAGCTCCCTTTTAAAACCAACACGGGAAAATAAGAGATGCTCTGAAGCAAATGGAAGGATCTAAGAAACCCTATGGGCATGGCTCAAACTGTTGGAACCCAAGATCAGGAGGTTTCCTTTGGTTTCCCAAAAAAACTCATGGGTACAGTCAAAATTCAGACACACCTGTGAATGCTGGCTGATCCGCCCCTCTCATCAGGGAAGGGGTGGAGAAAAGGTGAGGAAAGTCTCTCGTCTCTGGCCCCCTCTCTGCTCACGGGGGCTCCTTATCTCAAAGTGGCAGGGTGTCCGTTGGGTTTCCATTGTCAAAGTGGCTTCGAACGTACTTCCCAATAAGGTCTCAGAGGTTTTTCCGAACCCCTCAAAGCTCGGTCTTTCTCACTTTCCTACCCATCAAGGTTTGGTTCTCCCCTTTGGAAGGCTCCATGTTCATGGGTGGAACCCAGTTTGTGGCTTCCCCAATAAGACAAGCCCAAATGATTAAATACAGGCTCCCTTTAGAACTTTAGATCCAAGAGGGGAAATTTGATTGGGATCCATGTGCATTTGTATCCCCTAAACAAAAAAATGTCCAAGAGTGATAAGCTCCCTTTTAAAACCAACACGGGAAAATAAGAGATACTCTGAAGCAAATGGAAGGATCTAAGAAACCCTATCTCGGTTGCTTTCTGCTCCCCTGCTAAAAGTTTAACTTTTAGTGGTTTAGTGGAAAACCCATTAGTTGGCAACAAGTTAAAGTACCAACAGCCAAGCAAAATGCACCAAAGCTATGGGCATGGCACAAACTGTTGGAACCCAAGATCAGGAGGTTTCCTTCGGTTTCCCAGAAAGCTCATGGGTACAGTGAAAATTCAGACACTGTGCATGCTGGCTGATCGATTCGCCCGACTCTCATCAGGGAAGGGGTGGAGAAAAGGTGAGGAAAGTCTCTCGTCCCTGGCCCCCTCTCTGCTCACGAAACCTCCCTATCTCAAAGTGGCAGGGTGTCCGTTGGGTTTCCATTGTCAAAGTGGCTTCGAACGTCCCAATAAGGTCTCAGAGGTTTTTCCGAACCCCTCAAAGCTCGGTCTTTCTCACTGTCCAACGTGTTATGTTGCTTTTTTTTCCGAACCCCGCAAAGCTTGGTTTTGCTCCCTTTCCTAGGTGTATGTCAGAGATTTCCAGCAATAATGCGTATTTAAACATCTGTCCATGTGTTTCCTGCAATACCCCATGGGTATTCAAAAATCTTGGGATCTGGAAACAACCCCCAAGGTTTGGTTCTTTTCTTTGGAAGGCTCCATGTTTATGGGTGGAACCCAGTTTGTGGCTTCCCATTTTAGAGATTTGCCCAAATGATTAAATACAGGCTCAGCGATGTACCACAAATTCAGCCGATCGTCTACTTCTTGTCGATCTTTTGGATTGACATTTCGGCGGGGGCAGCTTCACATTTGCCCCCTGAAAGTGGGAGTTCAAATCCCCAATGCCACTAATCCAAACCACCAATTTTGGGTTTCCTGAAAACTGGTACGAGCAAAAAAATGGGGGTGCTAGATCCGCCGACGCCAGTTAAGCGTGTAGATGGCAATCCGCAACTTGCTCTTCCTTTATTGCTTTTTCTTTTAAAGCCGAAAGCTTTTGGGGAGACCATTTTTGTGCAAATTTTGCCGGATGTCCAAAATCCTGTCTGAAACGGGGGGGGGGGCAGGCAGATGGCGGGCAAGAATCCTGCATTCCCAGCATTATTGGGGCTGCCGCGATATGACTTGTGTTGCTGTTTTTGCAGATGGCGATATGACTTGTGTTGCTGGTTTTGCAGATGCCAATGGTGTTTTGCTCTTTTGAGCAAGGTGATCCTTTTTGGATGGTTTATTTCGGAAACCAGAGAGAAACATCGGATTTTGCATGCTGCATCCCATTTCGGCATTGCCTGAATTATCCGCATTCCCCGCACCCCCGCCATCCGTACTGTCGATGGGTAAAATCTGCAATACATTGAAACCATCGAGAAACAAAGGCTTGTGGTATTTCCACGGGAATCATCATTCCAGGGTTCTCAGGTGGTGAGGGATTTCGTCCATCCACAGTAGTACTCGTCTTTTTGAGGCTCAGTACCCGTTTTTGTGCTTGGAGTTAAAGGAAAACCGCCAGGGAAACGGTGTTTGGTTTTCTTCCTCCTAGACAAACCCTACTTGGGTGTGTCTTTCATTCTAAAGCCTACCATTTTCGGGGCTCCGAGGAGAAAAAAAAGAAAAGAAAGGATAGACCCATGTGGGCCAATTTTGAAAGGGGGGGGGCCAACCTTTGAAGACCAAAACCACCCGCCGGCGCAGATCTCCCCCCATCCTCTTGGAACGGCTCCCGGTCCCCGGACTTGACCGGTGGGTTTGGGGAGCAGAAGTTTGGAATTTTTTGGTTCGGTGGATTTGGAGTTCAGTTCCACTAGACCGCAAGAAGCGAAAATTGGAAAAAAATGGTGTCCCAACAAGCATAAGGAGGGAAACGGGTGGGCTCAAGGAACCAAGTCTGAATCCCATCAAAAAGGAACATGGGACCATAAATGGAGGTTTTCAAGGGGTTCACCCCTGCCCCAATTCGGCTTTTTTGGTGGAGGGGAGCTCCCAGCACACCGGGCGAGAACTCGCGAGAGGCGTCTGGGGCGTCCGTGCGCTCAGCTGCACCGTGCAGTTCTCCCCCCGGCCGATGGTGCACAGCCTGGCGCGAGAGCGCGCCGCGCTCGGCTCGCGCACGGGCGGCGCTGGAGAGCGGAGGGAAGAAAAGGGGAAGGGGGGAGGGGGTGGAGGGGAGGGAGGGGGGGGAGGGGAGGCTGAACCGTTTAGCCCGTCATTTCTAGGGAGCGGGAGGAGGGGGGGAGGGAGGGGGGAGGGGAGGGGAGGAAGGGGGGAGGGGAGGGGAGGAAGGGGGGAGGGGTTTTCCAAGGAATTTCGTACCGGATTATTAATATGGGGGGGGTGTCGCTGGTTTGCGTGGGGATTTATCACTTTGGGAGGGATTTTCGTATGGTTCTTGGTGTTGTTGTTATTGCCAATTGGGTGGGGGGGGGGGGGAGTTGTTTGGGTTTATAAGGTGTTGTTGCTTTTGCCCACCAGTTTGGGTGGGGGGGGGAGGTAGTGAACCTTTATTTGTGTGGCTTTATTCATCAGCTTGAAGAGGAACCAAGACCACCGTTCAGAAACCCTGATGATTCCCCTTGAAATGCCATAAAATGGTGTCTCATAGTTACAAGGGGAATCATCAGTTGTATCGTCAGGACTATATTTCTCCTGGAATAGTCGCAACACAAAATGGTTTCTCATAGTTGCTAGGTGGTGTGACATTGACTTCGTCCATCCACAGTACTTGATTAACAATGAAGGGAGACCAGCAGGTTCATGCAGGCTCCGCAGTTGGGTCCTGTGCTCCAACATACAGAGGGGCAGGAAAGAACCACCTAAAGAACGAATTCGTCGAGAAATTCAGCCGTTGGCAAAAGTCAGTGGAGGAGAGGTGGGATGGCGGATGGCAGCTGTACGAATGCGAGCGATCCTCCCCCTTCCACAATTCATTCACGTGGCCTGTTGGGTGACCTAAACTGGAAAGATCAAGAGATGGGTTTCCCTGGAATAGACCCATTTCTTCACCAGTGGAACCCTCCAAAATATATTTCTTACCAACCAACACCAGTGAAACCAATAAACCAGAGGGATACAACCAATCTATGGTGGATATACGAAATCCTGCACCACCTGAGAAAGTCTGGAATGATGATTCCCTGTAAATATACCAAGAAACAATGGTTTCAACCATAGCCGTGGATTCATTTCGTGGTACGAACGGAATTCGTCCATCCACAGTATTTGTACGTAGTATGGTCTCACCAATCTATGCGTCGTATCTGGGAACTCGTCCAATCTACTGTGAATGGTTGCGAAATCCATTTCGCATCACTTTCAAACCAGGGTTGAAACCATAACGTTTGGTATTTTTACGTTGGAGAATCGACTCAAGTCCAAATTCGTCCAATCCATGTCTCTCCACAGCCGAAATGGACACAGCACTGGTCACGAAGCTTTGGACTCGAGAATCGAATAGAGATCTGTCGGTCTTCGGTTACGCGCGAAAAGGTGCTCCTTTAAAGCCCAAATGGTCCCCAAAAAACGCCCCCCAAAATGGCTTGGTGGCTTTTTAGGACCGTTCGGGTAAAACCAACCCTAGAAAGATTTGGTACCCAAATAAGACAAAGCAGTATGTCCTTTTTATTGGGATCGGAACTTAAGGCGGAATGAAACCAGAACTTCAGCCCACTCTCGGCTGAGAAAGCTTGATGTCCTTCTGTACCCATGAAAGCAGGGCTGTCCAAGCTGCTGCCCAAACACGAAGCTAACTAAAATCATCTAAAGGCCTACGGGCAACCGCGGACGCATTGTACTAAACAAAAAATGGAACTAATCAAGAGGCATCGCATTGGCGGTGTCAAGGCAAATGAAGGTTTCAAGGGACAATCAAAAGGGGCCAAAATGATGGGCGACAAGGCGAGAGGCTAGTCTTGCAATGAAAAGGGGAGCCGTTCTTTCCAGGTGATAGCCCACTTAGCATGGTTATACGTCTCCGAAGTGAGACATAACCAGGCTTACTAACCACGTACAAGGTATCCTGCCCCTTTAAGTAGGAGTTTTGTTTACTACTTGGGCCAAGTCGGGCGCTGAATTGGGCATCACTTCCCGACGAAACCAGATCACCAATCAAACCAAGAGTTGCCTAAACCTGATAACCTACCGTGCACTACCAATAGTATCGTCATATACTGTGCATGGACAAAATCCAAACCGCCCTGAGATGATGCGCCTGTAAACACCAACAAACAGTAGTTTCCCCACGGTCTTTTAAGTTGCCCTGGTAAGTGGAAACATGGACCAACACCTGCGGTTTGCCCCTCCTGTTTAATTTTGAGCCACACCCATGTATCTAAACTGGGGGTCCAACAAAACAGTTTCTGGGAGGTTGCCCCTCCCGCTTGACGGTTTTAGGGGACACACCGCGCGGCTCATCACGCGGAAAGAGGGCGTCGCGGAAAGCTCTACGCTTCGTACCCGACACTGGCCATGAATGCACCTTTCAGCACGGCGCACTTCGCTAGCTATTGATGGACGCAATCCATGCAACGCACCACTTGGGGTTTCCAGAAAAACCGTTGCTTGCTGGTTTCACGTAGGCGAAACATCAAAAGCCAGGGTTTCTTAGGTGGTGCGAAATGGATTTCGCAACCATCCACAGTAGGAAGGGCTCAATGTACTTGGAAGAGACGAATTGCAGACACACCTCTTGGGGCTATGCGAGGTTTTGCCCTGTTCTGCGCTGGGGCCTAGGATTCTATGCAACTCATTGTCTCTTGGTGCAAGAAAGAACTCAAATTTGGCCGCTCAAATGATATGGTATACTCAAAAATGGAACAAAGACTCAAACCTGCGGTTTGCCCCAGCTGCTTAGTTGTGAGTACCCCAACACTGGGTCTGGGCTTTGCCCAATTCCACTCAGCTTCCACTCAGCTGGGTCGCTTTGAGGCTCAAAACCACAGCTTCCCATCCCATCGAGACAAAGAGCTCGCGCCTGTTTGTGAGCATCATGCGCTCACCAATGCGGGGGCCAGAGATAAAGTCCTCAGCTCTTGCGCGAGGGCCAAAGCAACCACGGGGGAGAAAGAAGAAGAAAACAAAAAAGGTGGAAGTGAGCATCCAAGGGTTGATGGAATTGCAACGTGGGATTGAATCCTGAGAACATGATACAGAATGAATGGTCCCATCTCACACGGCACTCTCTGGATGTCTTGTTAGTGGGGATCCCCGCTCAACAATGGAGCATACAGGGTATACTACCAAATTGTGTTTGTTTTGCTGGGTGTCTGGTCGCACACCGTGCTCTACGGTGTTTAAAAATGGTGGGTTGGGCAATCCTCCATAGGGACCCCACTGCAACATCCCTTTGCTTCATTCCCCTTGTGCAATCAATTCCCTTTAACGCCACCAGGCAAAAACAAATATGTAAAGGAAAACGAAAAAAAAAAAAAAAAAAAAAAAAAAAAAAAAAAGACATTGAACTCCCTCTGTAAATACCAACAAAAAAACACATCTCCCATAAATTGTCATTTCGTGGTACGAGAAGCGGAGTTACCCATCCACAGTGACAGCACGAATGGACTCCTGAAAGGGGCACCCATGGTTATGACTCCACTTACCATGATGATAAGTCTCCGAGTGGGTCATTTCACACAAATTTCAGTGGTGAGTAAGCATGGGTATGACCCACTTACCATGATGATAAGTCTCCGAGTGGGTTATTTATCACAATTTAAGTGGTTAGTAACCATGGTTATGACCCACAAAAGACACGATACGTCTCCGAGCGGGTTCTACAAATTTCCGTGGTTAGTAGCCATGGTTACTCAACCGACAAAAGCCATGATGATAAGTCTCCGAGTGGGTTATTTCACCATGGTTACTAACCACTTACTCAGTGTCCCGCCCCTTTAAGCAGGGTATGAGAAATGGCATGACCCCGAGAAATGGTTGTGACCCACAAAAGCCACGATATGTCTCCCAGTGGGTTCTTTCACACAAATTTCAGTGGTTGGTAACCATGGCTATGACCCACTTACCATGATGACAAGTCTCCGAGTGGGTTGTTTCACGCATATTTCAGTGGCTAGTAACCATGGTTACTCAACCCACAAAAGCCATGATGCTAAGTCTCCGAGTGGGTTCTTTCACCGTGGCGACTCTCACCACTTACCGAAGGACGTAGCCTTCATCCATCGCCCCGTCAGCGACTTCGCGACTTGGGGCGAGCGGCGATCTCCAACGGCGTGGCTTCCAGGCTGACGCCGCTGGGACGGGCCTGCGCCGTCTTCGCGTTTTGGGGGGGGGGGGGTCAAATGGAAACCCAACCACGAAACCAACTAAACCTGGTTGACGTTGGAAGGGGTGCAAACATTTAATTTTTTAGCAGTTGAGTGGGGATTTCCCACTAACCCCCAACAAGCAAAGATGTAAAATGGCTCCCAACAACAACCAACCAAACACCTCTAAACACCTAAGGAACAGGCCGATTCGCCGGGAACTGCCGATTCGCGAGAGCTCCCCCACTTGAAAACACGCCCTTGCCAGGGAAAAACAGGACGCCTCGAAAATCATTCGGGGGGACGGGTGTAATCAGGGGACATTACTCTGCTGCTCACTAACATGGCTTGCCCGAAAAAGGGCGCAAGGGCCCTCCAAACATATTTTTGGCGAATCCTAGTAGTCGCCGAGTTCAGAAAATACTACCCATGGCCCGGTTTCTGCCAAGATGTTGGGTCAGAGTGAACCCACTTGGCTATGCCATGGCTATGCCCTAGCAGTGAACCCTGCCGTGTTGCACACCTCTTTTTTTCGCAAAAAAAAAATACCTTTTCCCCAAGGTCCGAAAAGAAAAACGGAGCAAGGGCTGTGCAGTCGCCCCGCTGCACACTCCTGTGGCAGCCTCCTCGTGTGCTGGAGCTACCAACAAGATGCCCTGCAAATGGCGACAAATGATACGCACGTTTTGTCAGGCCCCGGCTACGGTGCAGTCCGTGCCCGCAGCAAATGTTTTGCACCTGCACCACCCTGCTCTTTCGGTGTGGAACCCCTGTTTGGTTGGGTCTTTTAAGGACAACCAAAAGGAATCCCAAAAAGGAACACCAAAATTTGTGGGGGTGCCCAAAAAAAGACACACCCAGTTCAACCCTTTCTTTCATACATCTCACTCGCACGTGCTGCTGAACAGGCGTTTCGGATCTACTGCGATAGGGGCCAACTGTTTGAAATGGGCTTGGGAACCTTTAAGCCAATTTGTGTCCCCTTTTGAAAGTTATGCCCACATCAAATGTGGCATTACTCCAAACCAGCGGCATTACTCAAATTTCTCGCCTCAAATTTGAAGTGACTGGGGCTAACCGAATCTTTGGTTCTCTTCCCGTTCCACGGTAGGTGGTTTCAACGCAAACCTTCAGCCACAACAACCCCCATGCCATCGGTGCAACCCGCCGCAGACCCACCCGCCCAACGCCTGAAAGCCGCCTGGCCTGGCGATGGCGAGGGCGCGAAAACCCGCCCAACAATAAGCCCGAGAGCGAGAGCACTCCTTGAAGGGCTCATGGCCCCGCATTCGGTGCAAGGGAGCGGTCCATCTTGATCGAGTGGGCCGGCCAAAACAAGCAACCGAACTTGTTGCTTACCGCTAAATTGCGAACCAAACCCCCCAAAAAACCGGAACCTCCAAAACCTTGCCTGCGCCAGACCACCCCGAACCTCCGGAACCTCTTACACCTGGCCTGCACCAGACCACCCCGAAATGTCCGGAACCTTGCTTGAACCTTACACCTGGAGCCTCCCGAACCTTTCTTGACCCTCACACCTGGCCTGCACCAGACCCGAAACCACCCCCGAACCTGCCTTGAACCTCACACCTGCGCCAGACCACCCCGGAACCGGTTCCGGAACCTTCCTTGAACCTTGCGCCAGATCACCCCAGAACCTCCAAAACCTTCCTTACTTCACACCTGGCCTGCACCAGACCACGGCCCTTGAACCTTACACCTGGCCTGCCCACCCCAGAACCTCCGGAACCTGCCTTGAACCTTACACCTGGCCTGCACCAGACCAGCCCAGAACCTCCGGAACCTTCCTTGAACCTTACACCTGGCCTGCGCCAAATCACCCCACAACCTCCAAAACCTTCCTTGAACTTCACACCTGGCCTGCACCAGACCCGAAACCCCGAACCTGCCTTGAACCTCACACCTGCGCCAGACAACCCCGGAACCGGTTCCGGAACCTTCCTTGAACCTTGCGCCAGATCACCCGAACCTCCAAAACCTTCCTTACTTCACACCTGGCCTGCACCAGGCCCCTTGAACCACACCTGGCCTGCCCACCCCGGAACCTCCGGAACCTGCCTTGAACCTTACACCTGGCCTGCACCAGACCAGCCCAGAACCTCCGGAACCTTCCTTGAACCTTGCACCTGGCCTGCGCCAAATCACCCCGGAACCTCCAAAACCTTCCTTGAACTTCCGCCCCTGAACCTTACACCTGGCCTGCCCACCCCGGAACCTCCGGAACCTGCCTTGAACCTTACACCTGGCCTGCGCCAGACAACCCCAACACCTCCAAAACCTTGAGCTTCACACCTGGCCTGCACCAGACCACGGCCCTTGAACCTTACACCTGGCCTGCCCACCCCGGAACCTCCGGAACCTGCCTTGAACCTTACACCTGGCCTGCACCAGACCAGCTTCCTTGAACTTCCACCAGACCACGGCCCCTGAACCTTACACCTGGCCTGCCCACCCCGGAACCGGTTCCGGAACCTTCCTTGAACCTTGCGCCAGATCACCCCAGAACCTCCAAAACCTTCCTTACTTCACACCTGGCCTGCACCAGACCACGGCCCTTGAACCTTACACCTGGCCTGCCCACCCCGGAACCTCCGGAACCTGCCTTGAACCTTACACCTGGCCTGCACCAGACCAGCCCAGAACCTCCGGAACCTTCCTTGAACCTTACACCTGGCCTGCGCCAAACCATCCCACAACCTCCAAAACCTTCCTTGAACTTCACACCTGGCCTGCACCAGACCCGAAACCACCCCGAACCTGCCTTGAACCTCACACCTGCGCCAGACCACCCCGGAACCGGTTCCGGAACCTTCCTTGAACCTTGCGCCAGATCACCCGAACCTCCAAAACCTTCCTTACTTCACACCTGGCCTGCACCAGACCACGGCCCCTTGAACCTTACACCTGGCCTGCCCACCCCGGAACTTCCGGAACCTGCCTTGAACCTTACACCTGGCCTGCACCAGACCAGCCCAGAACCTCCGGAACCTTCCTTGAACCTTAAACCTGGCCTGCGCCAAATCACCCCGGAACCTCCAACACCTTCCTTGAACTTCCACCAGACCACGGCCCCTGAACCTTACACCTGGCCTGCCCACCCCGGAACCTCCGGAACCTGCCTTGAACCTTACACCTGGCCTGCGCCAGACACCTCCAAAACCTTGAGCTTCACACCTGGCCTGCACCAGACCACGGCCCCTTGAACCTTACACCTGGCCTGCCCACCCCGGAACCTCCGGAACCTGCCTTGAACCTTACACCTGGCCTGCACCAGACCAGCCCAGAACCTCCGGAACCTGCCTCGAACCTGACTCCAGAGCTCCCCCAAGCCACCCCCAAACCTGATCTGGGCTGAGACCCCTTAGCTTTCAGCTGTTGGGGAAAAATAAGGTCCATGAACTATCGCGGAGCAACTTCCACTGGCAAAAGTGTCCAAGGCACACCGGGTGTAGGCCTACTCGATCAAAAACGGAGCCCTGTGAGTTGGACCAAGCCGGGCTTTTGGCTTCCCATGCCGAACCCGAAAATCCGAGCCGCGCGGTTTTTTCCGAATGAAAAGCTGGACCGAGGTGCTGGGGGGGGTTGGCTCAACCGCGCCGACAGGGCGTCGGAACGGGCCAACAAACCGTGGTGGTCAGGGCCCCTGACAAGGAGCCACTTGGCAAAGGAAATTGGTCACCAGCCAATCGGCCCCTCGGGAAGCGAGCTGAAAAGATCCAAAAAAATTGCCGCTGAGAAAAGGATGCCTTGTGTGTTGCCATGGGCGCGGGTATGCCCAGTGAACCCATCGTGCTAGAGCTAGATTGCTGTTATTATACATATAAAAAAGAAGAAAAATCAAAAAAATAAGAAGAAAAACGGCGTACCAAAACGACCATGTCGGCCCTTGCAAATGCAAGACGAAGCCCCTGGTCATTCATTCGCTTTCGTGCACGGTTGGAGAAAAAAGTGGTGGTTGGTTCTCGTTTCAATGATTACTACACATGGGTGGTGGATGTTTCTTTGAGGACCCCTTTGTGTGGTAATTTTACGAAAACCGAAAACCATCCTGGGGGTCCAACCTCTTAAAAGACATCCCCACATGGATTCCCGTGGCTCACTCAATCATAGTCTGTCTTTACGTGAAATACTGAATGTTCCTTCTTTGAGCAGAGAAGTTACAGTTTATACTCAATCTATCTGGGGGAGGGTAGCCAACTGATCAAGTTGGACCCCGAGAATCCGGCTTCTGGGAATCCCCTCTGAGACCAATGGAAAGGCCTTCCAATTGCGAAAACGGGGGGGAAGGATAACGCTTTACGTAGAATCCCAACCAACACTGGCTGCTAAACCGGTGTCGGTTGTGTTCTTTGAAATTAAATGAATAAAAACAAACTCCGTTTGGGTGTAGCGCTTTGCCGGTGGAACAGGAGCCAACCAACACTGGCGGAACCCTGGACCCATACAAAACCAGGCGTCGGCAGCACCCAAAAATTCCCAATGGCCCGCTCGACGTCGCAACCGAAGCAAAGTGGCGCGCCTCAAGGCGCCCTCTCCGCTTGGGTTCACTTCCCGACACAGCCTGCGCCGCTGGCATGCGCCGCTGGCATTCGCCGGCGCACCGCCGAACGGGGGAGAAACGATCCACCGGTCCCGGGATCGGTTTTGAGATGTCCTTCTGAAGGCGTCACCCCGTCTGTGCCAGGCGTGTTGCCGGGGTCATTGGATTTTCCTCAAATCAATCATGTCTCAATTTACTGGTGGTTTCCATTGAAGCGATCGCCACTTTTGGAGGTTTCACAAAGGGAAATGGAGGAAGCCCTGTAGAACGTCCGGGAAACTGGGCCTTTTTAAGCCTTTGCAACTGTACGCAGGCTTCCAAGCCCAAGGGCAATTGAGCGCGTCTGCTGCGGTCGGAATTTAGTGCATAGACTGGACACTTCAACCGAACCCGGTTTTGCCCTTCCAAACAACCAAAGGGGGAATTGTGAGGTGGCCCCAGCGAAGAATTCAAGCGTGCCTTGGGTTCCAGCGCTTGAGCAAGATGAAAGGCCAACAGGGTATGGGCTAACGAAACCAGGAGTTGGGCTTGAAGCAGCAGGGCACTTAGGAAGTGGTTGGTAACCATGGTTGTGACCACTTCCCATGGTTATAAGTCTCCTAAGTGAGTTATATAATAGCCATGGTTACTAACCACTATGTGCCCTGCTATTAAGGACTGCATCCCATTTTGGGGGGGGTACCCTGTGTGCAACCCACCAGACAATTTCAATCCACCGGAAGGCCAACGCTCCGGACACTTCCTGGGGCCCTGAACACTTCGAGGAAGTTCAAAAACCTGAGCCACTGGCCTTCCATTTGCGGATAGGCGCCCCCTGGAAAAAATGAGAACATATGTCCAGTGATACTGTGGATGGTTGCGAAATCCATCTCGCACCACTTTGAAAATATGGGAAACCACTGTTTGTTGGTATTTACGTAGGGGATCGTCATTCCAGGGTTTCTCAGGTGGTGCAGGATTTCGTCCATCCACAGTAGGTTCCCATTGAAACCAACAAGGGAAAATTAAACAACATCTTCTTAAACAAATGGCAGTTGCACAACTCCGAAACCCGGGTAGACGAAGGTTCAGGGATGATCCCCTTGCCATGAATGGGTACGGATAGTGATATCGCTGTCTTGATTCTTGAGGCATGATCATTTGGCCATGGGTCAAAAGCCCGGTTAGCCCCCAGTAAACATCCCAATCCAACCACTAAAATAGGTCTCAAAACTTGGGTGGTGAATTCACCAATCCCAAAATGGGATCCCGTTTAACGGTTTTGACACCCACAGCCATTTGAGTACCAGGGTCACACTGATGACCCCCGAGGACCTGAGCTTTGACTCACAAATCTTTGGGAGCCTCGGGTCTGGCATCGCAGAATTCCACCCAGTCCCTTCCTTGAAGAAAATGCCTGGAGTTTTGCTTATTTGTATTGCCCATAGATGTCCTTTTTGGTTGATAATTGATGGATTTCCCTGGTAGACGATTGAACCACCAGGTAAACCAGGAATCGCCTTCTATTTTTTGAGCAAGACAACCAAAAAGGACACAACTGGTAGCCAACGATTTCCTTACACAACTGGTAGCTCTTGACCTCCCTCTGAATCTCGGAATTCGCTTTTTTTGGGAGACTCTCAGCTCCGCTTGGCGGCGCACTTCCAAGGGAATTCGAGTTGCGCCATTCAGAGATGAAAGAAACCATTTGAGCCGGGTGGAAGCAAGTATCGGAATTCCAAGGAGACAAGCAAGAGTCGCAGTCCCCTTGGAGACAATGGGAAACCAATGACTTGGGCGAACTTCAGCTGGTCACCGCCCAACGACACCTCAAAGCCGCGGGCCTCTCGAAGGAGCTTGACCTCGCGGATCACCGTTGGGCGAAATGATGCGGAAAAAAAAAACTGTCGCAACAATCAGTCCCCGGCCCCCTTTAAACTAGGCTGCCCTTATATCGGCCAAAAGTTTGACTTGTGTGAACGGAAACCGCCAAAACTAAAAGCCTGAAAGTCAAAGGAACCGGATCGCTAAAAAAACCACTGAGAGGTAAACCAACATGATTGTCTGAACAGAGGGTGAGCCATGTGCTTGAGCAGTTGGTTTGAACAAATGGAAGCACAGGCCTCCAGTTGCTGGAGTGTTTGCTGGAAACAAATACACATCTGTCCAGTGATAGATGTCCTTGTAGACAATATAATATCTTCTGCGGGCTGTCCGTTGTCTGATCCCCTGCTAACAGTTTAACTTGTGGGAATGAGGGGATGGCCGGGGCACCAAGTTCTGCAACTAAAATGGAAAATACAAGTTCTTGGCCCGGTCGACATCGTGGTCTTCTGCAATCCCCCTTCGGAGAAAGGAAACCTCCTGCTGGGGGTGCCTCGAAATGCAAAATTGGACCCTCCAAAAGGCCTGCTTTCCTTTTGGGCGTCCTTTTTTAAGCAACTCCAAAAAGGAGTACCATTATTAAAAAAAAAAAATGCACCTTCCTGCAGCCCGCCTGCAAGGCTTTGAATGCAACTGTATCCTAAGGGCCTCAGGATCTCTTCGCTCTATTGTTTGCTTGGTTGGAGTGCAACGAAGGTTGACCAATCTAGGCATGTGCCAAAATACTGTGGACGGAGGAAATCCTGGACCGCCTAAGAAACCCTGGAATGACGATTCCCTTGTAAATACCAACAAACAATGGCTTCCCATGGTCTCAAAGTGGTGCGAAATGGATTTTGTCCATCCACAGTAGGGTTCCCCCATGGTGGTTCTCCTTTTGCCCTTACCAAGATGCAAATGTGGCCTCGAACAGTCACACCCCTTGAAACATCCTAAGCCCCACTTCACTCGGGGGCACCAGGATATGTGATGGTACCCCGATATGGCGAGAAATGCGCCCTCGATAAAGTGGAACATCCTTACAAATGTTTGTCATCTTGCACTGGTACTGCGGATGGACGAAATTCGTTCGCACCACTTTGAAACCATGGAAACAACCATCTGTTGTTGGTATTTACCCAGGGGGATCGTCATTCCAGGGTTTCTTAGGTGCGGGATTTCGTCCATCCACAGCATCACTGGAAATGGGCCAAACCAACAACACATGTCCCGCAATGGACGTCAAACAAAGGCCATGGGCGCAAGAGTACTGGTTCACACCCTTGTTGACCAGAACGCTTTCAATCTTGTAGGCTCGCTGAAGAAGGCCCCCGGCCCCGGTCCTTGGACTAATGCTTCTCTCGGCACCACTTGCCCAACAAAGGATACACCTTGTGTATCACATGGATTTGAATTTTGAAAACCGCTACTATCTCGCGCTTACCCAAAACTGACACCTGTTGATGCCCAACGAGCAAACCTGGACACAGTTGCACTTCTAAGCAATTTCCGCAAAAGTGAACAGGCTGCGCGCGCCAATCGCCTTGTTCGCCAATGGCTCGTAATGCTCCGCTTTGCAATTTGTTTAAGCTTTGTGCTGACGGCCTCTTGCTGGCTTGCTGGCGGCGTCAACTCCGGCCAATGAGCGCGGGTACTTTGTACCTGTGATCGACTTACCCGCTTCTTCCCAAGCAGTCAAAGATTCCTCTTTCCACATCAAGAACAGAGCAGCTCAGTGACTTTGGGCGCCCGACTCGTCATGTTAAACCGGTTAAAACGGGGACGGGGACATGAGGTCGCTTCTTGGTTGTGGACATCACCCTTTCTGTGATACCCATGTGCGCCATCCTTTTGATATGTGTCTCATTTTCCATTTGCTTAAGTCCCCCTCAGAAAAAAAAAAATAAATAAAAAAAAATTCCAGTAGTGACATCGACTCCCTTCAAAACCAAGCGGGGTTTTGATAAAACATCTTCATTTCAGCAAAGGGAAGGCATCTTGACAAGGATTCTTTTGGCACTGGTATCCCAGAAAGTGGTCCTACCGTGGATGGACGAAATCCTGCACCACTTTCAAACCATGGGACACCATTGTTGGTATTTACAGGGGAATCATGATTCTAGGGTTTCTTGGGTGGTGCGAAATGGATTTCGTCCATCCACAGTATCAGACTTCCTGCCAGGCAAAAACGGATTTTTCCCCACCGACCAATGAGGCGGGCCAGCCGAAAGTCGGCCCGGGGGGGTCCCGGCCAGTTCTTCTGCACCGCGCCGTTGAGCCGGGTCTTGGCAAGGATGTCCACCACCTGCTCGCTTCTTTGGTGGGGCGTCACCAACTGCCTAGATAGCCAAGTTGCGACCGCCTTTTTCAGCTACTGTTGCGGGTTCTGGGGGTAAAGTGAAGTGCATGGAAAAAAAGCAGCAACTGGCGATCCAGGTGGGTTCCTCAAAGTTCATCTTTGCCTATTTTAAGTATTGATCCCCAGATTGCAAAGATATTGGTGATGTTTTACATTGTACCATGTAAATTCTAAAAAATGGCGTCAAGTCCAAAGCAAAGCCAGCCCAAGAAAGTGATTTTCAGAGGAGCCCGTCAAGCCTTTGTCATTGGACCCAGACCAAACCGGGAGACGATGGGCCGGTTGCAGCCTCCCTTCAGACTTCCCCGAGTTAAACAGATCGAATCCTGAGGGCCCAAAATTCTGCAACTCGAGCGGCAACTGAAGAAAATGAGTCTGAGCATCGTTGTGTTTGGGGAAATAGATGGATTTCCCTGGATGAGAAGAAACACCAGCAGGTAAACCTGGAATCGAAACCCATCGACTTTTCGACCGAAACAACAAAAAGGACACCTATGAGTCTGAGTTACAGGATTTCCCACTCAGGTTCATCAACTGGCGGTGTCCATGGAAACGATCGATCCACGTTTGGAGGTTCTGACAGGTCAAAATGACGTAGCCCCCCAAGAGGACATGGGAAAACTAGTGGGTCACGGTTGCGCTAGTCGCCTGGATTCTGTTTTGGAGACGTCACTGTCAAAAACGTTGGGTTTTACTCGTTTCGCTCGCCTTGTGGCAACCGTGACCAACTAGTGAGTAGGCCAGAAACTACTGGACATTTTGACCGAACCTCATTTGACAGCCAAACCTGGTTGAAAAAAACAGAATCCTCGGGAGGATGTTCCTGACAGCTTGCTGCTTTCCATCCCAGTGGACCAACCGAGCCATGAAGAGCCGTTGGACTGGTCACAAATAGGCCGAAGATACCAGGCGGCGTCTTTTCGCGAGGAAAAAACCTTTTTTGGGTGGCTTAAAAAGGAAACCACCAGGAAAACCAAAATCCACTTTGGAGCGGGTTGATAGAAAGACATCAGACCTGTCAGAACTCCTTGGCTCATTTGTTATCTACAGGGGTAGACGTACCAAAGGCGACCTAGCAGTCTTTGCGAAGCTCAAGAGAGCCTTTGCAAGACTTGAAGTTTCATTTACAGAGGCCAATTTGGGGGGAGCTTCCATGCTAGTCTTCGGGAGTGTAACAGCTGTAATCCTTTTTTTCTTAGACATGGACCTCTTCGGTTTTGGTTGGTATTCAAACGAAAGCAAAAGCCCCACTTTGGGCCCTGTTTTATCAAAACATCCTACAATGTGAAACTCCGATGTGCTCTACGCCAAACGCATCATGTCTCCCATAGGCCTCTCAGGAACTCATGTGTTCTGAAAACCAATTCGTGAAACTCCTGAACGCATATGGGTGTGTCTCAAAATGGGGAAGCCCCAAAATGGTTGGTGTCCTCTTGGTTGCCTTGCAAAACCACCTCAGAAAGGTACCCTGAAAAAAGTCGCAGACACACAAGCCCGACTATGCCCGCCAGTATGGCCAAAAATTTAGCCTATGGACAGCCGCGGCCTACAAGGCAGAACTTCCGTGTCAAAAAGCCAATGATTTTTTTGTCCGTGTTCAGTTTCAGCTCGGGTTTAAATGGAAACCATGCCACTAAGCTCAGGAAATACCTCCAAATGCCCAAGGAACCGGGGAAACGAACCCAGAAAATGGTAGGTGCAAGCGGCCCAGTGCCGCTTGGGCGCCCCTGTTGGCCGGTTTTTGCCCGGCCTTGTCTGACACTTGGTGCGTGTCATCATCACTGTCAACTTGCTCCTCAAGCACGAGCACTCCAAGCGCTGAATATGCCAAGCACCACAGAACAGCTAGTTCGAAAGGATTTGGGTGTCTCTTTTTTTTGAGGGTACCCTTTTCAGCTTTTCAGGGAAGCCAACCAAAGACGTTTTGGGGGGGTCCGATTTCTAAAATTGACAGACCCGTTTCATGCTCTCTTAGGTCCAAGGGTTGGTGATCCAAAGGGCGTTCGAGGAATTCCTTTCGGGTTTTGTCTTGCGCAATCATAACTGGACTGCCCTCAGATCCCTCGCTAAAAGTTTAACTATTGTGGCTTAAATGGGGAAACTACCACTAAACACTAAAAGGCTAAAAAGCAAAGGAACCGGATGGCTGGGAGCCGCCAAGATAATATAGCGACTGGCAGAAAAGGACAAACCTTTTGGACGGGCTGAGGAAACTCATTGAACAGCAAGATATTTTTAAAGGGTGCCACTGGACGACGCGGGGTTTGTCAGAGGGGACGTAAAATTCTGCGGGTGGACGACATCCTTCAGCACTTTGAAAGCATGGGAGCCCCTCGTTTGGTATCTGCAGGGAAATCGAAGCATTCCAGAGTTTCTGACTGGTGGTGCGGAAGGGATTTCGCAACCATCCACAGCAGGACAGGTGATCAGGTTACGAATCCCAGGTTCCCATTTGACAAAACCTGGCAAAGGCTCCATGGGACTGTTTCGCCGCAGCTGGCGACAAGGCGACGGCACCCCTCGATCAACAAATGTGATAGTCGGGTTGCCATTTACTGATCAGGCAACCTATATTGGGGATACACTATTTTGGACCACCACGCCTATGGGGGCCTCCACAAATTTCCCCACGTCCCCAAAAAAAGAGGGGAACCCATATTGGGGTTCCCCTATTTTGGAAAAAAACACACCCCCATATTATGGGGGAACTCCGGGAAAGGTGTCGTCACCCACGTCCTCGACTCTAAAGCTCGGCGCACGCAACGGTGCCTCGAACGAGGTTGGAAGCAGGGCGTACCGGTGTCCATGGGAGAAAGGGGAAACAGCTGGTTTTTGAAAGAATGGTTGGAATCAATCCCCAGAATATTGTTCTCAACCCCCGGACTGAAGACAAGCAGGATCCGAGCACCATCCGTTAGATGTCGTTTCCTATCTCCTTGAGCATCTCAAAAGTGCTGGCTTTGACTACCCAGATCCATTGCCTGATAACCAAGGCCTTTGAAATGAAAAGGGAACTCACCCGCTCAACTCAAAGACTTCCCCCATGGACCCCCAGACCAAAGCCCAAAGATGAAGTAGGACAGCTAAGCCTTATTTGGAGCTTACTTACCCAGACGCTCCCGATAAATATACTGCCCTCAAACAGCCTAGGTTTTGAGACCCCAAACACCGAAGCGGGGTGTCTAATGGAGGGGTCGGGTCTTCCACTGAAAGCCGCAGGAGCCTCTGGGTACCCTAATTTTGCCGTGAAATGTTCGTCTTATGCTTGTTGGTTGAAGGTCCGTTGCTACAACCTTTGATCAACTTGTTTCCGCGTCTTTTCGCGCCTCGAAGTTCACTCGGTTCCGGAAGCCTGGCAAGAGACGGCAACAGAGAGAAATGGGCCATGGTTGCAAAGTACCCGTTGTCTATGCCTTCCACTTGCTTTTTGTGCCCTGGGGAAAATGAATCAAAGGAAATCCAGTAGTGAACTCGATTCCCTTTGAAACCGATTTCGGGGGAAACACAAACACAAAATAGCCTGAAACGCACATGGAAGATACAGCGGCTTGGTAGTGCATATCCCATGAAAAAACCCTGTGGCTAGTGGGTTGGAGTGGAAACCACCTTGGACAATAGGAAATCATAGGACTTGGCCCCCTCAACATGGCGACGCCTATGGAAGCCCTAAAACGACGACCAAAAGAAAAGGCCAGTCAGGACGTCATGCACGCCATCTCCCCAGAGGTGCTTCAAAACCAGAACTGGGAAATCTGTCCCGCGAAAAAATTGGGCCGTGGCCCAACTCCTCTCACTTCTGTTCGCGACCCTTGGTGTGGTTGCAAACAACTTGCTTTTCGCGCACCCTACCACCAATGAACAGAACCAAACAAATCAAAAAAAAGAAAAACTTGCCAAGAACAGTGAAGTTTGGGAGCAAAAACAAATTGGGGACCCCTGTTTACGGGCTCCGGTGTTTTTTTTTGAATCACATTTTTTGACACTTGGACATGCTATGCTTATGTTTGCCCCTTCAGCATCATTCGGCCAAAGATAAACTTCCAAACAGTGATGCTTGAGCCACCCGCCTAAAGGGGCATCGTACGTAGTAAGTGGTTAGTAGCCCTGGCTGTAACCAACTTACCATGGTTATAAGTCTCACATGTGGGTTATAACCACATGCCTGAGTCTGGTCGACGCTTTGAGCCAGTGGCTGGTCACAAAAAAAGAAAACTCCTGTGGCCGATTGGGCAATGGTTCCCTTAACAGCAAGCATACTGGTTACATCCATTTGCATTTGCATGCCCTGGAAGCAATGAGAAAATATTGGCAGGAGTAATAGAATCAACCAGGAGATATCAATAAAAACATATTCAGCAAATGGACGGTTATTCAGGGTCCGATAATCAACAAGGGAAATCAACAAACAAATATTCAGCAAATGGATTCAGGATCCATTTTTCCCCTGTTGGACGGTCACCATCCCAACGTTGCCAACGGCAAAACCCGGTCTTTCAGCCACGGCCAGGGCCCGGCTGCGCCTCCGCCACACACCGCCGCCACGCCCAAGGCGTGAAGCCGATGATGGGCGTGCCGCCTCACCCCACACACTGGGTGCTTCTTGGTTTCACTGCTCTGAGCTCTCCTCAGATCCCCCGCTAAAAGTTTAACTTTTCGCGGGTAAACTTTTAGCGGGCTAAATGGAAACTACCACTAAACACTAAAAAGCTGAAAAGCTCAGGAACCGGATGGCTGGGAGCCACCAAGCGCTTGAAAGAACACCGAAAAGGCAAAGAAACCAAGACGAAAACAAAACGAGGCCAAAAGGAAACCAAAAGGAAACCAAAAGAAAACCAAAGGGACTAAACCAACCATTCGGCAGGAACCCTAGCCCTGAAGGTACGTTCAAAGGGAAACTGGTTTTGTGATACCCTGACGCAACAAACATCATGGGCCAGGGCCAACTGCTGCGACCGAAATTTGGTTGCAAATGGCGACTTTCAGGCGTCCTTCCGTTGGAAGGCATCCTTTCCCTTCACGGAGCCATGTCTTTTTTGAAGGATTCCTTTTTGGGTGGCTTTAAATGGACACCTAAAGAACAGCCACCTTTTGGGGGGGCGGGGCAGGCGCATGTGAGCTTTCTAGGGGTTGATTTTTGATTTCTCATCCTGGCTTTTCAAAATGGAGTAGCCAATCCGCAGCTATTTACTGGGAAGCCACTACTTTGGCGTCCGGACAAGGTAGCCAAATGTCAGGAACCTTGGTTCTAAACCCCATTATAAGCCTAGGTGGGGATAACAACCAACCAATAGTAAGTTATAACCGTAGCCACTGATTCACTTGGCAAATCGAAGATCCTTCCATGCGGGGCCCTTTTCCTTCCGTAACCCCTAGAGTTTTGAGATCTTGGGACTTCCCCAAATCAAAGTTGATCAATTTAGGGGTAGTTCCCACTAACAATGCCCTTTTGGAGGATTCAAAGGGAAATCGCTCGAAAACCCGGTTTTTGCGAACTCTTCCGCGTACTGAGCTTGGATCAAACTGATCACAAGGCCTGGAATGTGCTCCTCTTGCTGCAAAGCGTGCAATTACTATATCGTTAGTTACATATTATTCTTCTTTATTCGGACATTCACATATTTTATTAGAAACAATACACAAGTTTTATTTTCATAAGCAAATTTACTATAACACACTTCGTTTTTATCAACATATTTGAAATATGGTTCCACGATTTCCTTGTATGACAAAAAAAAAAAAAAAACATTTGCTGGGGCCCCGCCCCGCTCGAGGAAACACACAACTACATGGGAATCACAGTAGGTTCGCCAAGGATGGACCATGCCCTCTGATTGAAAGCGAGGGTTTCAGCTATTTGGCAAAACTATCTGGGAGCCCAAATAGCCTCCAGGACCTTCAGGGCGCACCCGGCAGCACAAGAGGGGACCTTCGAGGGAATTCAGCTGCCTTTTTTGGAGGCTACCTCTTCTAGGTCCTCTAGTAGAGAGGTTAGAATAAGGGTACCCTTTTCTCTGTAGTCTATTTTTAGGGGAACCCTCCCAACCAAAAAAGGGGTGAGAAAGGGCACTACTTGGGGACCTAGTCTTTTAGATTGGTCAGGGTGGCTGGATTTCCCCCAGTCAAAAGTTGATCAACCTACTTTAGCAGGTTTCAAACAGGGGCATGGAGGACGCTTGGTTGGTTTAAATCGAGATCAAGAGCATTTCTTCCGGAGCCTCAGCTTCCGAAATGCCCACCCAACTTCCGGGCCCCAAAAGCTTATTCCCGCCTGTGGCTGTTGCAGCCTCCCCCGCAAAAGCGCACAATCAGCTCGGCGTTGCCCACGCGGATCCAGTCCTCGCTGCTTCCTTCTTCTCCCCTTCCCTCACCCAGCGGTCTACCAGGCCCTATTATAACTGGAAAGCCAAAGCTTAGGTCCTCCAGTAGAGAGGGTAGAATAAGGTTACCCTTTTTCTGTAGTCTATTTTAAGATCCCTCCCCAAAAAAAGAGCAAAAGGGCACTACTGGGGGACCTAGAATGGACAAAATCCATTTCGCACCACTTTCAAACCCTGGTTGCAACCATAACGTTTGTTGGTACTTACCGGGGAATCGAATCCTTCTAGGGTTTGTTGGGTGGTGCGAAATGAATTTCGCAACCATCCACAGTATTAAATGGGAAGCCACAGGTAAAACCACCCCCGCATCTGCCTGGATCAAACGATGCAAGGGACAAATCAGTCAAACACTCCGGGGTGCAACGTGCGGCTCTCGATGGTCACATCACCGAGTCAGTCCAACTGCTCAGACCGGAAGATACCGTGGATGCCCCAAATAATGCAAACCCACCCACAAAACCACAACTTCGGTAAACTCGGGATTTCCCTTGTTCCCCTACTAGGTCCTCCAGTAGAGAGGTTGGAAATAAGGGTACCCTTTTTTCTGTAGTCTATTTTACTAGGGGAACCCTCCCAACCAAAAAAGGGGTGAGAAAGGGCACTATTGGGGGACCTAGTGGTTTCCACGGACTAAATAAACCCGCGGTCCAATTCCTGGTGCTGCAGCAATTTTGACCCATACCCTGGTGTCCAACATCGCCATGGGTTCATATATGGATCTATGCTGACCTTCGATCGCCTGCCCAGTGGTCATGGGAAAAAAGGGCGTCTGTTTTGGTTCGTTGAGTTCACCCTTCCCCAAAAAAGGAAACAGGGGCGGAATCCACCTGGGCAACAGAGTTTAAGTGAGTCGCTGTCAAAACCTGGAATAAAAATGGTCTACCCAGCACCATGCAAAGAATTAAGAAGGCGGATATCCGCCGCTATTTCTGGCTGGGATCGTCCCTTACTAACCTTCATCTACCCGAATCGGTTTTGAGCAAGTGGCTCAAGTGGCTCAAGCCCGTGTCCCACGGTTCTACCAAACCGAGGTCTGAGTGCCCCCGCACCGCAGCTCACTGGCTGCCCACTCTTGGTCACCTTCCTCGGATCCCATGCGAGCGAGCGGGATGCGGGATGCGCGAAAGGGAAGCCGGGAAGCCCGAAAGGAGCGCTGCCGCGGAAACCCTGCAGGGTTTGAAAAGCCAAGGGAAGTTGAGGGATCCGCATGCATGAAAAACACCGATCGAACGTTGCAACTTGTCAATGGTGGTTTCCTTTGATTTTGGTGTTGAAAAAGCCAGCCATGTTTCAAATGGTCAGGCAAAATGGAGATCTTTTAAGGAGCCCTTGGAAGTCAGCTGGAGAAAAGCCTGCCATTTGACTTGCGTGCATCTTTTTTTTTTGCTTCATTTGGGGAGGGTCCAAGCTATGGGGTCTTTCCAAGGGTCCTGGGGCTGTTGGGGATACCTGGGCTTTTTTCTTTGCGTGAGGGGGGGAGGGTGGTCCAACTCCCAAATTTCGGCACATCTCCGGAGAAAATGCTCATGGCATCTGCGAGTCTTGTTGAAACAAATGGGCATGTGTTCAAGGATGTAGGAACCCACCAATGGTGGTGTTGCGCTTGGTTTCCCTTCAAACCAACTTAGAAAAAGTACCATCTCAAAAAAACACATATATATATATATATGTATATGTATTGACATATCTTGCTATACTTGAGAAGGGGTGACACAAAAGGTAGGATACCGTAGAGTGTTCCCCCTCTTAAAAGGAAGGAGCTCAACAGCTTGACTCTGTTAAGAGGCAACTTCCATTCCGCAAAAAGGGGAACTACTTGTTGACCATGTAAATTGAAAATTGGGCACTGACGAAGCGAGCAAGGGACAAGGTGCACCCTGACTTGACGAGCAAAACGGTGCGAAAAGCGGACCGAAGTGTGAAGCGAAGCGAGCGAAAAGAGCGCAAAAAAAGAGCAAAGCTGCCAATCAGGCAAGCGGGAAAGGGGGGGCCAGGGCGGACGAGGGAGAGTCGAAGGGGGGAAGGGAGGGGGGGCCCACCCCCAGACCCCCTCAGTCTAGCCTTGCTAACGCAAGGACAAACTCAAGCTAGCCTCCTTTAGGCTACCTTTCGTGATACTGTGGATGGGACCATTGTTTGTTGGTATTTGCTGGGGAATCACCATTCCAGGGTTTCTTGGGTGGTGCAGGATTTCGTTTATCCACAGTATGTCAACCCCTGGTGTTGACCATTCCCATAGAAAAGCAAAGAACAAAAAAGGAGCCGAGGCGCTTGAAGGTGCCCCACTTCGAGCCGGTGTCCATCACCTACGAAGCCGCCCGCAACCCCCGGGGGCATCACAAACCGTCCGGGAGGAAAAAAAAGCAGGCCGGCCAGAGGCGGCGGAAGAACGGATATAAAACAAAACACCGACAATAAAGGGATTTGTCAAATGCAACACCGAAAAAATAGATTTTAGAACAAGCCCAAGCAAGACACCAAATCTGGAAAAACGGTATGGATGTGCCCCTTTGGGATATCAAAAGAGCACTCGATTGCTGGAAAAGGATCAACAGTGGGAAGAACAGGTCAAATCCACAAAAACCGCATCCAAACCGTTTTCTAGACCAAAAAACAAGTGGCAAAATGAACCCAAAACGGTTGTGTTTGTTTGGGGCTTATGTTTAGAACCACCAAACAAAAGGAGTGCCCTCGAAAAAAGAGAGAGAGAGAGAGAGAGAGACAGAGACACACCCAAATCGCTCTGTTGTGTGTGTGTTTCCACGGGACAGGGGTCCCTCCAAAGGTGTTTTCTTCCCTGTCAAAGGAAGTGTGTACACGTGTTCATGCCCTCCCCAAACTTCCATGGTCTTGCTCAGCCTGCAATTCACGGTCGACAAACAACCTGCTGTTGTGCAAGGGTATTTGCCCCTCATCCACAAAAAAAATGGTCAAAGTTGCCATCGCGACTTCCAGGGGTTTGTTCCGTCCCAGAGGTGTTCAGTTGAGTCACGATCAAAACCCATTGGTATTAACATGGTCTTCCCAGAACCATGCAAAGAATTAAGAAGGCAACGAAGGCACCCAATGGCAAGGGGAGCTAGGTCCTCCAGATTCGAGAGGTTAGAATCAGGGTACCCAACTGATTTCCGTAGTCTATTTTAGTAGGGGAATTCTCCCCCCCAAAAAAGGTGCGGCAAAGGGGCACCAATTGCTGGGCAGACCTAGGGACTATCCCTCAATGCTCATCTACCCGACTCAGTTTTGAGCCGTTGCTCCCTCTGGAGCTGCTCCTTTTAAAGTCTCAGTTGCTTTCTGCTCCCCTGCTAAAAGTGTAACTTCTGGAAAACCCATTGGTTGGCAAAAAGTTAAAGTCCGAACATCCAAGCAAAATGCACCCCTGTTTTGGAGCTTCTTGTTGGCTATCAGAAGCTCTCGGAAACTCGTGTCAGCCATCTTTGACAGATGCGAGTGTTGAAACTCGGGGACCCCCAAAGTTGCTTCGGGTGTACCTTCTGGTTTCCCTTCAAACCAACCCAAAAAGGGTACCCTGAAAAAAGATAGACCCATGAATTCAGTTGCCCAGGTCTACAAAACGTCGAAGCACTTTCTGCTGAAAAATAAGCAACCCAACCCTTCAACCTGTAGGCACGTCGGGGGATCCGCTTGGGTGGGTCTTTCTTTTTGTAGCTACCCTTTTCGGGGGGTTCATTTACAGGGGAATCGAGTCATTCCAGGGTTTCTTGGGTGGTGCGTTGGACGGATTTCGCAACCAGCCACAGCACCTCTCCCCTCGGAGCCTGGAACTTCTCCTTCTCCTCGTTGTAGATCACGCTGAAGTGTGACCTCGAAGCGATCGGCTCCGTCATCAGCACGTGCGGCTGCAGCGTCCTGCGGCGAAGAAAAAGCCGCTCGCTCGCTCGACGCCGCCCGATCATAGGTGTCCTTTTGGAAAAATAGATGGCCCTGGCAAATGGGGTCTAAAACCCATCCAAACCACCGATGTGCTCGAGTTTCCTCCGCCCACCAACGCCGGAAAAAAAGCTCTTGGGGCGGCGTTGGCCTCTGAGGAGTAGCGGGCTGAGCTCTGGCCAGAAAACCTCCACGTTTCGCCTTCCAGTTGCAAGGCTTCGGCAATAGTCCCTTTGAGAAAAAAAAATCCCACGAGAACCAAACACCCACTTCTTGGACTTACCAAGTTCTAGCCTCGAAGCCAAACAGTGCGATCGACGTCGCTTCGGTCCCGCTTCCCTCGGTTCGGCCGCGGCCGAACTTCGTTGTGAGCGCGCAGTCGGTGTCGTTGGGCCTCTTGCAGATCCATTGGTCCGGTAAACCAAACCCCGAAAATGGACTAGGTCCTCCAGGTTCGAGAGGTTAGAATAAGGGCACCCTTTCTTTTTTCTGTAGTCTATTTTCGTAGGGGAACCGAATCTCCCCAAAAAAAGATACGGCAAAAGGGCAATACTGGGGGACCTAGTGGAGGTTCCATGAGCAACTCTCTTGGAACCCATGTTGACCCCGGATTGATGAACCCCAGTTTAGTCCTAGGCGGGGTCTCCCTGGGCATAGCAGGGACTCATCGCTTTTGGTGGGGACCATTTCCCCCCCCCCCCCCCCGCACAAAGTAGGGTTTGGGTTTAGGGCTTTAGGGTGTTTGGGGTTTTAGGGTTTTAGGGTTTTAGGGTTTAGGTTGGGCTTTGGTTTTAGGGTTTAGGGGTTAGGGTTTCGGGTTTTAGGGTTTTCAGGGTTTCGGTTTTAGGGTTTTTAGGGCTTACCTCCCGCAGCCGAGGCTGCAAGTTGGGGTTTCCATGGGCTCCGCCCTCGGAGTCGTTCGATGTCCCTGCCCTTTTTGGGGCATTGGATTGGGAAGATCACATGAGTCATACTCACAACTTGGTGTTGAAATGGTCTACCAGAACCATGTCAAGAATCAAAAAGTCGGCTGCACCCACTTTTGTAGTTGGGACCATCCCGTACTGTTTTGATTGAGGCTCGCATGGATTGCCCGTACTAGGTCCAGAAAAATCGCCCTTGCGTTTCGAGCCAAATCGGGCTTCCGGCCTTTTTGGGAGGCCGGCGGTGACTCGACCAGCGGTGACTCGACTACAGGAATCCCAGAAATACCAGGGATGCCCCTTTGCAACAAGGGAACATCAACCATGGTTTACTGTAATTTCCACCCTGACTTTTTCTGGGGGCCTCGATTGGCACAAAGCAAATTATGCAATGCAAGCTTGTTTAGGTTGATCTACTGTGGGTGGGTGCGAAATCCGTTCCCAGCAATTTGAAATGCTTGAAACTGTTGGTCGTGTGTATTTACAGGTTAATCACCATTCCATTTGGGAAATCGGTTTTGCCCACAAGCAGCTTCATCCACAGGGTGCGTTGGGGCTACCTTCCACCAAAAAAATAAGGAAATGAGCAACTCATTGAGACATGGCCATGTGTCAAAATCCAAATCGTACCCCCCAGTGAACATCCCAATTCCCACTAACATAGGTTCTAAAATGGGTGGTGCACCTACCCCAAAATGGGATCCCAAAACGGTTTTGACAACCAATGTCCCACATGAGGCCTTTGTCTCGCGCAAAACTGTGCCATCAGTGTTCGAAGTGGTCCCCTTGCCCCCCGCCCTCGTGACTTGTTTCGGCTTGGGGAGAGAAAGGGGCAACCTCGGAGTTGTCTCGCTTGCCCCAAGGAAACCGGACCAACAAAAATAACATGTCGTTCAGGGCCATGACAACAAACGGGGAAAACCAATGACTCCAAATTGGCTCCTTTAAAAGCCCAAGCCAAGTTGCATCCGTTTTCAACGAGGCGCACCACTACGAGGTGTGCGTGTGTATCCCTTTTTGTTTCGCGACCCAACGCGGATTCCATGTCTCGGTTCTTGGGATGAACAATTCCGGCAAAATCCATGGCTTGAACTGCACAGCGCCTCTTCCCGAAGAGGTGACAGAGTCTGGATGGTGGGCTTCAGCCCATCCGTTTCGCACCACCGAACTCAGAAACCCTGATTCGATTCCCCAACGCAGACACTGTAGCAAAAATGTCCCCATGGTTTCATGTCCAAACGGATTTCGTCCACACTACCTTACGGATCCAGCTGACAGGATCCCTACACACAAGCCAGCCATGGCTTAAGCCTCAAAGGCATCTTTCCTCTTCGCCTCCCACTTCCAGTCCTCCAGATTCGAGAGGTTAGAATAAGGGTACCAACTTTTTCTGCATTCTATTTTAGTAGGGGAACCGAATCTCCCCCCAAAAAAGAAACGGCAAAAGGGCACCAATTGCTGGGGGGACCTAGTCCCACTCACCCAGCCCACCGCACTGCCCCAAAGGACCCCCGGCGTGATGACAATGGCCGGCTGCTGCCTTGGCTTTCTCAAACCATTAGCCGGTACTGCTGTGGACCATTTGGCTGTGGGTCAAAAAACCGGAATTCCAAAATGGAACCCTGGTAAGTGGAAACATGGACCAAAGCCTGCGTAACCCCTCCTGTTTAATTTTGAGCCACAGCCATTTTGAGCCTGCAATGCCTTGGTTGACGTTGGGTCTGGGGAGCAAGAATTCGAAAACTTTAGCAGCCAAGTGGAGTTGGATTTCAACCACTCAACCACAACAAGCCAAAATGGGAAATAACATTTTAGCAGCCAAGTGGATTTGGATTTCAACCACTCAACCGCAAGAAGCAAAAATGGTTCAAATGTTTCCCAACAACAACCAAGCTACGAGGTTCCAACATGGTGGTGGGCCAAAAACTGGAACCCGCCATGGGCTGCTCGAATGAAAACATGGAGTTTAAACGCTGCAGTTCCTTTAATGTTAACCCATCCCATGGTCATCAACCAGGTCCCCAGAAAACTCGTACTGCCAAGATTGTCACGCCTCAAAAGGAACCCAAGTGTTCTCAACCCAAGGCTACGGCACGATGTGAAAACTCAACAAGACGTTGGTCAACTGAAAGCAGTGTGAAGTGGGTTTCCACCTGTTTCTGAGCATCTCTACTCTTGGTATGGTAGCAAAAAACTTTTTTTTTGCAGACCCCCAGTAAAAATGAACAGAACCAAAAAACTAAAAAACCTAAAAAGAGGCCAAGAACGGCGAGGTGAATGGCAAATGGCAAAGCACACCACGCCGGAAAACGCCCGGCCCCACCCGCCGGCCCCTGGTGACCGTTCCGCCGGCCGGGCGTTTCGCCGAGCGGCCCCCCGAGCCGCGGCCGGCCGGCGCCCAGGGTGCCGCTGCAGACCCGCAGGACCAGCGCCTCGCGGAAACGTCGGGGGGAGTTGGGGCCGGAAAGCTCCCCGGAACTTCCCCCACGCAGAAATTTCCCCGCGCATTTTTTCTGGGTACGTCCAGGTGTTTGTTTCTGCCCCCTTTGATTTAGTGGGGGCAGGAGGTTGGGGTCGGACCAAACCCGAGCGCCCCTTGTGATCGGCCTAGGGAAACCAAGGGAGAAGGAGTCTAAGCATCGCAAGTTGGGCAGGATGGTTGAACCATGTTTGAGACCGTAGCTTGGTGGTATTTACAGGTCTAGGGCAAATTCCCACGCAGACATCCCCGCGCATATTTTTCTGGGTACGTCAAGGTGGCGAAAAAGCCCTGGAACTCATTCCAACCATTCCTTTTAAACCATGCCTAGGTGTTCAGATGGTTTTCGGTGGTTTTGTCGGTTTCCACTAAGCCTCTAGGGCTTCATTCCCTTTGATGGCCGTCTTTGCCCCCTTTGATTTGGTGGATTGAAATCTCAGGGACTCAGCTAGTAAGGCAACATAGGGGTTGATTCCATTCCTAGGAAATCAGCAACTTGGGGAAAATCCGTTTGAGACAACCCCATATGTACGTTATTTGAGGTTGCACTGTTTCTAGGGGTTGATTTCTTGTCCATTCTGTTCAACCATCCTTCTTTTCTCAAGAACCGGAGCTGTTCCACCTGGAGCGAGTTCTGATGGTGTTCTGGAAAGATTCGGATCCCTGGAAAGAATGGGGGAGTGTCCAGTAGAAAAATGGTGGTCTCACGAGAACTCGAAAATAAATCTAGGTCAGACACAGAAACCCAGAAGCCCAACAGCCAAACCCAGAAACCTCCAGGTTCTCACAGAAACGTGTAGGTTACAGAAACCCAGAAACCAGCAAAGTGTTGGTTGCAAAACTTGGCTGGAAGTAGGACCCCAGCAAAAGTGGAAAACAAAGGGGACCCCAACAAAGCGAGAGAAAGAAAAAGGGAAGCTAATTGCACTACTCAAAAAGAACTTGTAGGTTACATGCAGAAACCCCACTAAACCCAAACGCCTCTGTCCGATCCGCGAAAGTCGAGTGGTTGAGCGGAAACTACCATTTGGGTTGGTTGAATAGAAAAGGGAACTGCCCATAACCCTAAGAAACTAGGCTGTGGCTTGGGACCAAGTAAGATGTCGAGCTTCCTGTTGGTTTCCCTTTAAAACCAACCAGAAGGGATCCATCTTGAAAAACACCCATTTATGAGGTTCCCGAAACTGGGCTGGCTCCCACTGTGCATGGTTCGAAATCCATTTCGCACCGTTCAGAAACCCTATGGTGCTTTTCCCCAACGTAAATACCAACAAACCTCAAGGCTTCAATTTGCATGGTTCCGTTTCGTGGTGTGAATTGGATTTCGCAACCATCCACAGCATGGTCCTTGTTGGTTTCCCTCTTGCCAGCAAGGGAACCATGTTGACAAACAAACGGATGTCCGTTTTCGGATCCCCTGCTCAAGTGGCGCATCATGGTTTCTTGTTGTTTCCCTTTAAAACCATCCAAAGGAGGGTCCCTTAAAAAAGACAGACCCAAATGTGTAGATTACAGGGTTGTTTCCTTCAGATCCACTGCTAAAGTCTAACTGTTGGTGGTTTAGTGGAAACTACCGACTAAACCAAAAACATCCTAGGTCCTCCAGTAGAGAGGTTAGAATACGGGTACCCTTTTTTCTGTAGTCTATTTTAGTAGGGGAACCCTCCCCCAAAAAGGGTAAAAAGGGTACCTAGCATCTGAACACCTAAGGGAGCGGATGGTTGGGAACCAAGTAAAATGGTGAGTGTCCTTGTGGTGTCCCTTGCCAACCAATATCAATTTTGAACGCACGCATTTATGAGGTTTTCAAAACTGGGCAGACCCGTTTTCAGATCCCTTGCCAAAAGCCGAAAACGCTTCGTGGTTTCGTGGAAACTATCGACTAAAGCCGAACAACCTGCAACCTAAAACCAAAGGGGATGGTTGGGAACCGCCAAGTAACATGAAGGTCTCTCAAATGCCCCGTGGATTTCCATGGGAAAAGAGGGCATCACTTTTTGGTTGGTTGAGTTAGGGGAACCCTTCCCACAAAAAGTTGAAAAAGGGGCGGAATCCACTGGGTAACTGGGTCTATGCTGAGGTTCCTTCCCTGGGCTGGTCGTTTTTAGACCTGCTAAAAGTTTGAAACCTGTGGGTGAAATACGGAACCTCTTCACCGAATAAATATATATATATATAGATATACATATAGATATGCTACCCACCTCCAAAAAAAAGAAAAGGAAAGAGGAATGAACTAACAATAAACATATCTATTCACTCCGCGCATTATAGCATCACATCTTCTTTTTTTTCGGGCGGCTCTATAAACGGAGGCGCTCGAAGGGAACGGAGCCCCCCGGCCAGGGTACTTGGTAAGTGGTTAGGAACCATGGTTACAACCCACCAAGGCCATGGTTATAAGTCTCCGTTCAGTGGGTGATCTCACCATGGTTACCAAGCACCTGGAGTCTCCATGACCCTTAACAAATGAGTTCATTACCCTATATAAAGGGGTGGACCTATTTCTATTTCGGATCAGAAGGAGACTCCAATCGCCCTTTGAAGCAGACCCCCGCCCTGAAGCTCCCGTCCCCCCCGTCCCCCCCGCCCGCTCCCCGCCTTGCGCGTGGCCGTGAGCCCACTCTGCACCCTGCGAATGGCCTGCGCATAGAGCGGCTCCTGCGCGGTTTCGAGCGAGCGAGCGAGCGCGTCGGCGGGTCGCGGCCGGGAAGGTGGGGCTGGCTGCCCAGTTCTCTCGGGGCCCTGATTGTTTCAAATATTATTCCAGGGTTGATTCCTTGTCCATTCTTTTCAACCATCCTTCTCTTCAAAAACCGGATCTGTTTGCCAGTGGCCCAGTTTGTCTTTCCTCTTTGGGACCAAAATTGGCTGACAAGGAGACCCAAAAGGTCGAAAGGTATCTGGACCCTCAAACTACCCATACGAAAGGACAAAAAGGCCCCAGAAATTCGGGTGGCAACAACCCACTTTAAGCTTGAAACTTTGAAGTCCGAATGGGACCCAGAATCCAGAAATCAGAAGCGCTCACCTTTTGAGGGAGGAAGCTTTCCGAGACTGGTTTGCCCAAAAACACCCATTTCAGGGTCCATTCGCTTTGAACTGAGACAGCTTGAAGCTGCTTTTTCCACTTCGAGGGCCCTCTGTTTTTGGTGAACCTTTCTCTTTCTTGGAACTTCGGGGAACAAAATTAGCAACCAGCTACCTCACAGAACCCATGGAGAGGGGTCATTTTTGTTTCCATAGCTTGAAGTTGCGTGTTTCGTCAGATGGAAAGAGCAGCCCGGTCATTCGAACGTCGAAGCAACTTGGGCCCAGTTCAACGGCGGTACACTTTTCAGGTTGGCACAAATGGAAACCGCGGCCATTTTGGGGCTCCTCTATGTGAGCAAGATGCGACCTCCCTTTTGAGCTTGGGACCTCCAAACCCCAAATGGATGTGTCTTGTTTAAGCGACACCCAAAAAGGGCATTTGTCGTTCTCCTTGTTGCTTGTTTCTTTCAAAACGACCAAAAAGGGGTACCAACTCCAAACAAGCCTAAGACATATCCTCAGCCCACAAAACGCATGCGGGATCGGGGGAAGAGTTCCCCTCCGATCCCGCGACTGTTCGACTTCGGGACTTTGCTTTCGCGCATGCGCGCTTTTCTTTTTGGAGTTTCAGCCGCTTGGCAGGCTTGCCAGCGCTTCATGATGCGAGTCCTCGGCAGAACTTCGGCTGAGAATTCCAGGGATGGATGCTTCGTCTGTGCAACAAGGGAACATCAACCATGGTTTACTGTAAGTTCAACCATGACTTTTTTCTGGGGGCCTCTATTGGCACAAAGCAAATGTATGCAATGCAAGCTTGTTGAGATTGATGTACCAAATCCATTTTACTGTAATTCCAACCACCTAGATAGCCAAGCTGCGATCGCTTTGTTCAGTCACTGTTGCTGGTTGTTGGGGTAAAGTTCATGGAAAAAAGCAGCAACTGTCGATCCAGGCATGTTTTTTATGGGGGCCTCGATTGGCACAAAGCAAATCTATGCAATGCAAGCTCGTTGAGATTGATCTACTGTGAAAACTGTGGGAAACCATCGCATTGCTTGTTGGTATTTCCAGGGGAATCATCATCAGACTAGATCTGTAACAACTCGGCATGAACCAAAAAGTTGGTTAATACCCCAGAAAGAAAAACTGCCAGGTTTATGGGCTTCTTAGGTGTTGCGAAATGAATGTAGTCCATCCACTGTATGACAATCTGGCAGCTTCTCATGCAGTCGATGCAGGGACAAAAAAGCTGCTGTGTGCCCGTTTTCGTGAAGTGAGCTACTCGGGCCTTTGAAAGAAAAAACAAGTTTTTCGAAGCGCAATGGCCATGGGGAAACAGGGATGCGGATGCATGAAAACCACCTGAACAGTAAATGGAAGCTAGAAAAAGGAAATCAGCAGCAGGTGGTTTTCCGGCCGGGGCGCTTTGGACTGACACGGTGTTCTTTCCAAAGTGGAGCTGACCATATGGTGGTTGATCAAAAGGTCCCTTACATAGGATGACCACTAGGAAACCATCCAATAAGATGACTTTCACCACATGTGAAAAGTTACCCATTGTCAAAACTCAGGGCCTTTCATGGAATACTGATCAGCCCTATCCCTGGAACACTGAAACGACCACACCAGGAAAACTGCACATCATGACTGTCCGACTCTCGGCCCAGGAAGCCAGAAAGCCATCCTGCTAATTCACGAAAGACGAAAACCCAAGTGATCCGTTCTGCGAGCGGAGTCCGAACAAATGGAATACCATTCAGGGCCCTTCTCTGGGCTGCCCTCAGATCCCCCGCTAAAAGTTTAACTTTTGGTGGGTTAAATGGAAACTACCACTAAACACTAAAAGGATCTAAAAAGCTAAGGGACCGGATGCCTGGGAGCCACCAAGTTCTATCTATTATCCGATGGGCCAAAATAAGACCCAAGCTGGGCCCATGTTTTACTAAACTAGTCTTTGAGGAAGTCCGGAAACTGCGAAAGTGAGCCGCTGCAAATACCCACAAGTTGGGAGGTGTCTGTTTTGACCACCGATCCTGCCTTCAAGTTGGCTTTTTGAAGTCAGAATCAACCGGGGGTCTGCGACCAGCTTGAGGCGCAGGGTTGACGCAATTTTGTTTTCCAGCCCATTTTCTTTTCCAATACCATCTTGAAGCACCCCAGACTCGCCCCAGACTTGACTGCATTTCCCATATCATGAGCCTCGCTGTCGGTCCACAAAAAGGCCCCGGACCCTCCCAGAGATTCCAGTTCCCATTAGTAGGTAACCAGAGGACATGATGTAACTGTCCAAGCCTTGGCATGGTAGCAAAAAACGTTGCTTTTTGCAGCCCCCTGCAAAAAAATGAACAGAACCGAAGAAAACAGGGCCATCAACACTCTGCCAAAAGTCAAACTTTTAGCGGTTTAATGGAAAACCACTAGTAAGTAAAGTCCTAACATCCAATCAACATGTACTCTGGAAAATTGAAAAATTGTCTTCTTTCATGTATGAATCAACTGAAGAAAAAAAATGGCCCCCAGCACCAAAGAACAGTAAAGGCTAAAACCTCCCGTCTCGCTTTGAGTCGCTGGCCTAGCACCGGGCCTCTGCTCTGGACGAAACCAAGGCTCATGACGGGCGCCCGCTCGGCGATGGGAATGCCCCAGTTGATGAAGACCTAGCGACGGAAAGCGAAACGGAAGAAGCCGTATATGGTGAAGGGTTCGCTCCCCCCCATGGTTCCGAGTCCTCCCCCGGTGGGGTTGTAGTGGTTTAGACTTGGTTTAGGGCTGATCTAGTTGTAGTGGTTTAGGATGGTTTGGGGTTGGTTTAGAGTGTTTAGTGTTGGTTTAAAATATGTGTTTTGGGTTGGTTTAAGGTAGGTTTATGGTTGGTTTAGAGTGTATCTAGTGTTGGTTTAGGATGTGTGTTTTTTTCCTTGAACGTGTCAAGTGTTGGTTTAAAGATGTGTTTTTTCCAGCTAATTTAGGGTTGGTTTAGGGTTAGTTTAGGGTTTGGGCGCAGGGCGTGCCGAGGTGTGGGTTCAGGGGGTGAAGGGGCCAGGGTCTGGGGACCGCAGCAGCAGGGCTTTTTGTGGGGTTTGGGTTCTGGGGGGAGTGGGGGGGGGGATACCATTGGGGGGGGGGGGGAAGATGGGGGGGAGGGGGGAGGGTTGGTCAAAATTCCCTTCGGCCCCCAAAGAACCATGGGTTCTAGTGATTTTCCCCAATGGTCATCCTATGATCAACCCTAAGGAGGTGAGGGCCCTGCAAAAGTGATAGGAATCCTACTAACAGGGGACCCCCCATTAATCAGCCCAGAAGGTTTAGTCAACATTCGGCATTTTGCATGAGGATCGAGTTCTTATTTCAGATGGACTGCCAAAAAGCGGCCCTCCCCCAAAATGGTCGGCATCCTTCTTGGTTTCCCTCTAAACACCAGCATTTAACTCACCAAACTCGGTGGGCCACTAAAATAGTCCAAACCCAAAGTGTCAAGTCCATGCAACTCGGGAAGCGAGCCGATTGACCTCGGGTGCGAAATCTGCGAAGCCCTGCTAAAAGATTTTAATTTTTAGTGGTTAGATACGGAAAACCCATTAGTTATGTAAAAGTTAAAGTCCTAGCATCCCTTGGCAAAATGCACCAAAGTAACTGTTGGGTTCAAACAAAAAACGCAAGGCCTGATGGGAGAAGTGCATCGCAAAGCCCAGCTTCCGTAGCTGCGCGCAAGTCCTTGGCAAGACATTGGCTACTGTGGATGGTTGCGAAATCCGTGCAACGCACCACCTGAGAAACCCTAGAACGATTCGATTCCACCTGTAAATACCAACTAACCGTTATGGTTTCAGCCAAACAAATGCAAAGTGGTGCGTTGCATGGATTTCGATCCCATCCACAGTATGGCTTCCACGTTGCTGGATGCTTTCCCTGTTCAAGGGGCACCTGGGCACCTTCCAGTCTTGGGATCCGAATCTTTTCAGGAAACCATCAAAAAAAACCAGGGAACAGATCCGGCTTTTGAGAACAGAGCGATGGTTGAAAATAATGGGGGATCATAGACCTGTACATACCAACAAACTGCTGTATCATGGTTTCAAAGTGGTGCAAAATGGAAATGAGAAAGTGCGTCCAGTAGTGAAATCGAGTCCCTTTAAAACCAACATGGGGAAACACAAAATTGTCGTTTCAGCAAATAGGAAGATGGGGAATTCCAACGAAACACCCGTCTCAGCGTCTTTCAAATTGGGCCTCCTAAAAAAGAAATGCCCGCATTCCCGGGTGAAAGGAAAATCGGTTGGGGGTTCACCTTTTGGACTGTCTAAGCGTGACACGGGTCCACCATTTCACTTGGAACACGGCAATTGACACGAATTCCCCCACCGAGCCTCCCGAAAGGAACAGAATTAGCGCCAATCTCTGGAACATATGGGTGTGTCTGTAAGTGTTGTGCTTTAGAGCTCTCTTTTTGGGCGGTTTGAACAAAGGGGGGACCTTTGGATCAACCTTCATGGTGCCTCTCCCCAAACAGAAGAAGATCCGCGACAGCTGCCGGGAAGCACGTCCGTCCAGTTCGCCCTTAGATCGCGGTTGCGGTTGCCCTCGCAACGCAACAGGCACGCGACATACTGTGGATGGTTGCGAAATCCATGCAACGCACCACTTGGAAATTTGGGGGGGGGGAAACCATTGTTTGTTGGCATTTACGTTGGGGAAGCATCTTTCCAGGGTTTCTTAGGTGATGCCGGGGTTCGCCCATCCACAGTATGGAACCCTAAGGCATCCCCCCCAAAAGGATATACCTCCGCGCAAAAAAACACACAAAATGCATTTTTAAGTGGCTTGGCGTGTTTTCCACCAAGCTCTATCCCCGAGTATCCCCTTCGCCCAGAAATGTCTAAGCCACCTGGGAAGGTGAGCATTGCAGACGTTTGGTTGTCCCAAACTCCATCGAGGTTCAGAAACGGGAACCTGGACCGGGGTCCTTTTCTTTTGGGCCTAGCTTTCCGAAATATTCGGAGATGCCAACTTCTTTAAACTCATGGCTTACAGGACCACCCTCCTTGTCGTTTTTGTCGGGGGTCTGGTGCTAACACATCTTGCAACCAAATTCAACCGCAAATGTTCATTCGCAAATTTGCGGTTTTCCTAGGAAGTTGGCAAGAATGAGCTGATAATCCACCCCATGTGGTGTCCCTTTCTTGCTGTTAAACAAAAAGAAAGAAAGAAAGAAAGAAAGAAAGAAAGAAAGAAAAAAAGAAAGAAACCAACAGAAAAACCGAAATTTGGCGGGGTCCCGTTCCAAATCAAACAAACAAAAAGACGCACACCCGTAAAGGGAGCCGCACCCAACAAACCCCCAAACCCCCAAACCCCCCAACCCCCCAACCCCCCCCAAAGCCAAAGCGTCGCATGACTCGCCCCGACTCGGCCATCGACGCGCCCCCCGCTCGCCCCCCGCTCGGCCGCTTGGCGCCGCGTCGCGCGTCCGCGACGTGGACAAAGTTGTGGCTGTCGAAGGCCCAGGGCAGCTGCAGCCGCAGCTCCTTGAGCGCCAGCATGTCCTCGGACCGAACAGAACTTACTTCCCCTACTCCAAATACCCGCCTTTTTCAGGGTATTTTTGGGGAAAACCGATCGGTTTTCCAGGGTAAATACCTCCTTTGTTTGTTGATACCCTGAAGAAAGAGGGTATTTGGAGTAGGGGGTACTTCCCCTACTTAACCCCCGCAACCCCTTTATTAAACCCTTGGCCTCCACACCAAAAATGGCCCCAAAACTCCCAAACATTGGCCAAACATTCGAGGATACTGTGGATGGTTGCAAAATCCGTTTCGCACCACCGAACTCAGAAACCCTGGTTTCTGATGCTTCCCCAACGTAAATACCAACAAACAACGATTGTCTCCGGGTGTCCAAGTGGTGCGAAATGGATTTCGCAACCATCCACAGTAGGCCCTCCAGATTTGAGAGCTGAAAGGGTACCATTCCTTTTTTCTGTAGTCTATATCTTAGTAGGGGAACCCTCCCAACCAAAAAAGGGGAGAGAAGGGCACTGGGGATCGAAGCACAGAACCGACTCCAAATACCAGGCTTTTTGGTTAGGGTATCATGTCGACTCTCTGCTCAAAAAGGAGGTATTTACCTTAAAAAACCAGGTTTATTAAAAAAAAACGCTCTTTTCAGGGTATTGTTGGGAAAACCTGGTTTGCGCTCCTTTTTAGTGGAGGGTGGACATCATTCCCTGAAAACAGTGGGTATTGGCTCACTTCCCATGTGCACTCTCCCTTCGAGTGGCCAAAACAAGCTAACCCGACTTTTGGACTACCACTAAAATGGTCCTGTGCCATGTGGCCAACTCACTTTTGGTCTCAACTGGGCTGCCAAGTTTAACTTTTAGTGGGTCAAATGGAAACTACCACCAAACACTAAAAGGATCTAAAAGGCTAAGGCTGGGAGCCACCAAGTCAATTGGTTCTAGCGCAAGCATGGTCCAAAAGTCGGGCAGCCTCCAACCCTTTTGAACACGGAACGGTCCTCTCAAAGGCACCCTCCGGTGGGTCAAGCCGAAGATCCAGCCAATTTCTCGGGCGGGAAAATCGGGGAACCCCATGGGGGCAAGCCCTTGAATGTTGACCCATGATCAATAAACCCGTCCGATTATTGGGGGGGTGTCCAAAAGTGGGCTGAATCCCCGCTAAAAGGGGACACCCCCCCGTAAATCAACCAGATGAACGTTACCCCAACAACCAGCAACAGTGACTGAGAAAGGCAGCAACTTGGCTGTCTAGGTATTTTCCTTCTGAAGGGACTTCCAAACGTCAGGTTCCAAATGATGGTTTCCCAAAGAGAATGGTTGGAAGCCCTTGGACCATTTAGTGAAACCAGCAAGGAATGGGTTTATGTTTAGCCCGGATGAATAACCCCCCAAGCGTCAGGTTCCATGTTGATTGGTTGGAGGGTAACTCACGTCCCATCGAACTGGCCAAAAAAAGTCACCGGACTTTTCGTTCACCACTAAGATGGTTCTCAGGTGACAGTGGCAAAAAATAAAAACACGGCAACCCCGAAATGGACTCCTATGATAATCCTTGGGTAATCGAGCCGACCGGCCAAAAGAGTCGCCCTACTTTTTGCTCGCCACTAAAATGGTCCAAACCCAAAAAGTGTTTTAAAGTCCATAACCTCGGGGAGTGAGGCGACCCCAAAATGGAACCCTAGGGAAGCTTCCAACCATTCTTTCCAGGGCTCCTTGAGTTTCTCAGTTGAGGCTGTGGTGATCACAAATGGGGCAATCGGACCGGCCCCCCAAAATGGGTTTCGGAGTTGGGCTTTTCTTTCAAACCACCAATTTCTCAGTTGAGTCGCACTCAAAACCGATCGAATATCACAATGGTCTACCTAGAAGCATGTAAAGAACACGGGCGGCGAACGCACCCATTTCTGGTTGGTCTCCCTCACCTTCTACCTGGGCTTTGGTTCTTTGGAGCTGGGCTGTGCTCGGATGCCAAAAGCTGAGCGGTTCAGCGACTGGAACCGGACGGAGCCGAACCGCCAAGGGGGGGTCCTTTTGCCTTTGACGCCGCCCGCAACTGGCAAGTCGCTGACACTCGGTCGACCCCTGAGGTGTTCATCATTGCTCCTGGCGGGAAGGACCAAAACCGTGGCTTGCCGCTTGCGAGAATTTGGGGGGCAGGGTGGCAGACGAGTTGCTGCCACTTGGCTCGGTCCAAAATGTTTTTTTTATCCGGTGAAGAGGCTGGAATCTATGGCTGCATCCAAGAAGTTTCCTGGACAACTTGGTGGAATCAGTTGGAAAAACTTCCCAAACCCCGCACACCAACAACTCCAAGTTTGTTCTTTCTTCGGGGGTGCCTTGCGCGGAACCCCCCAATGTTTCCAACGCGCAACCGGGGGAAACCGAGTTTTTCCGGGCGGCGGATTTTTTCCGAAACCGTGCGCTCGCCGAACCCCAGGCGCCTACGTTGAGGATGGTCCACAGGATCCGCACCCACTCATCCTTGGAGCCAGAGACCAGCGACGGCACGAAGCCGTTGTAGACCGTGAACCTCAGTCGACGAACCGCGGCACGGAACCTGGGATTTGTTTTGTTTTTGTTGTTGTTGTTGTTTTTTGCTTTGTTTTTTCTCGAGGTCTTTAATGGGATCGAGAAGCCATACTGTGGATGGCGCGCGAAATGAAACCATGGGAATGGTTTCATTGTTTGTTGGTGCTGCGACATGGATTTCGCCACCATGAGTATGTTTCTTGGGGTGGCCTGTTTTGAGACATATGCCTTTGACAAGGCTTGTATTCAGTCAAAGTCTTTTTTCTGGAACCCTTTTCCAGACATAGTGGGGGACCCGGTCCCCCTCAAGAAAAGTGTCTACACCTTGAGGAAGTGTTGTTTGCTCTTCCAAAAGGAGTGCGACACATGGCTGTGGGTCAAAATTAAACCACCAGGAATCGGACCGGTTAAATCGTCCATGTTTCCCTTTACCAGGGCCTGCGAAACCCTGCATCAGCGCATCCATCACCCGTCGTTTGGGATGACGTATTCTGTGACGTAGGTTGGGTGCCCTAAATATGGCCATGGGTCAAAAACCGCATTGGGATCCCATTTTGGTTGGTAGGTGAATTTGCCACCCGTTTTAGAACCTATTTTAATGGTTGGATTGGGATGTTCTCTGGGGCTACGATTTGGATTTGAGCCATGGCCATATGTTGCAAGGGGAACCAGGAAACGCACCTCCCCCCTGGTGGCTTTCCGCATCTACCGGGCCAAGCGTGAGCTTCTGGTGATGCTTGGGGGAGAGATGAACCCAGGACCTACTGTGGATGGACGAAATCCTGCACCACGAAATGAAACCATGGTTGAAACCATTGTTTGTTGGTGTTTACGTTGGGGAATCGACTCCTTCCAGGGTTTCTTGGGTGGTGCGACTTGGATGTCGCGAAACCATCCACAGTACGGGCCAACTTCAGGAGGGCTCCCTTGGCTTTTTTGTTGGAAATGGAGTGAGCCCGGAAGCGCATGCGGTTGGGCAAATGCTGTGAGACTCTCTAGGTCCCCCAGTAGAGAAGTTAGAATAGGGGTACCAACTCTTTTCTGTACTCTATTTTAGTAGTGGAACCCTCCCCCCAAAAAAGGGTAAAAGAGCACTTACTGGGGGACCTAGCTCTTCTAAGCCAACCGCTGGATCGGTTTCTGACAGATACGGCGGATGAAGGGCAAGGAGCCCAAATTAGCCTGTAACGACTGTAACGATGGACCAAATCCATATCGCACTAGTTAGAATTGCTGGTTAATGCCAGTTGTAGGATCTTACCTATCCCCTGTGGTAGGTGGTTTATGCCAGTTACACTGCGGATGAGGAAATCCTGCACCACTCGGAAACCATGGCCCTGCAAACATATACACGCTCATCCACCACTTTGAACCATGCTTGGTTGATGTTGAAAGAGGAGCAAACAAAATAAATTCTAGCAGTTCAGTGGATTAGGATTTCAACCACTAAACCACAACAAGCAACAATGTTTCAAATGTTTCCCACCAACAACCAGTATAAGGAGGGTGGGCTCAAGGTCCCAATCCGAATCCAGGAACATGAAACCATCAATGGGACAGGGACATCCTCGTTTGGCGCATCCAGCCCAGCGTTTCCGGGCCCCAGGCCGGCCGCGGTTCGGCAGGCCCAGCTCGGGCGAAAGGAACCTAAGCGAAAGCAAACGAAGGTCTACGACCCGGAGATGTCCATCTGGTATATTATTATATGATGAACTTATTCAACACAAAAATGAAAAATTGAAATTATTGTATTTTACATCAAGCTTCTTATATAAAGGTATCTTTTTGACTGCGGATGGTTGCAAAATCCGTTTCGCACCACCGAACTCAGAAACCCTGGAATGATTCGATTCCCCTGTAAATACCAACGAACCATGGTTTCCCATAGTTTCAAATTGGTGCAGGATTTCGTCCATCCACAGTGGGAAGTGGGCAACAGACGTTTGGTACTTGAGTTAAAGGGAAAAACCCAAGAAAAATCAGCCCCGCTGCCCCAAACCACCTTTCTGGGCCTATCGACCCCCTAGCTTTCAGCTGTGACAAAAAGGAGAGAAACAAGACACCCTTGGGTGTCCGGAAGGTGGTGTCTTTTTGTTCAAAAAAAGACAACTACCGGAACGAACATGGTGACTCGTTTCTTCATTTCAGGCAATAGTTGCTTTTCAGGTTGTACCTTAGCATTGGTGAGTGCTTGTTAGCTTAGCTTGGCTGTCGATTTGATTCTCTAAAGCTCCCTTTCAGCATTGCCCCACCAAAAGGAAACTCATTTTGAATTGGCCCAAAATTGCTCATGGTTAAACCCAACTATTCCAAACCACGAAAGAACACACTTACGCCAAGCAGCATGGGCAGCGTGTCTATGTCCGACATCCAGCCGCCCCCAACTTCTATCATGGCCACGTAGCGCAGGTAGCAGAAGCGCTCGTATTCCGCGTCGTAGCTGAGTGTGGTGAAAAAATCCCCCCAGATGACACACTTGGGGTCTATTTTGCAACCTCCTTTGAAGTATTCGTGTTTTTGTTTGTGAGCTGCACGATAGACTCTAAGTGTCCTTGCCCCCCCCCCGCCACAATCCCACACTGGCCAGCACAGCCCCAAACATCGGACCAGGAAACTTGGGTGATACCTCAGGCGGCCCCTACGACCCGATGTCAAGCCTCGCTCACCTTTGCTCCTGTCAACTTGCCCGGTCTCGAACAATTGGGTGTGTCTTAAAACAGGGATATCCCCCAAATGCTGCGAACCGTTCTCATGGTGGTGTCCTTTTACCCCCCCCCCCCCCAAAAAAAAAAAAAAAGAAACTCCCCCCCCCCTTTTCCGCCCCCTGTTTCTTAACCCAGGCGCTTGTCATGCCCCGGCTTTTTCCCTTTGGAATTTACCACCGCCCCAAAACGAGGAAACACCAAACAAACCCCAGAGCCGGGGCCGTGGTGAGTTTGAAAATTTCTCTACCGCGCGGGGGCCATGGCGCGCCCTTTGCTTCGACCCACCCGAAAACCAAGGGCCGTGTTTTTTGTTTCGCTTTCCGGGGGTCGCTTGACCCCAAAAAGGCCAAAAAGGCAAAACAAATGCGAGAAAAAAAGGGGGGAGAAAAAAAAACGGCCCCTTGGCCAACGCAAAGAATCGATGCAAATGCATACGTGGTGTGTCGAGAATAGGTTTTCTTTGACCTGAACCATGATGGATCGATTCCCGATTTCTTTCACACGCGACTCGACGTGTGTTGCTCTTCCTTCTCCCATTCCCGCGAATCCGAGGTGCTTGGGTCTGGGGATGTGGCGGATGTAGTCCTCAGGGAACTCAAGCACGGCACGAGTTTGTGGGTGTCGGACCATCTCCATGCGTTTCCCTGGCAAATGGCCGTGGCGAATTCAAAAAACCGGAATTCCAAAATGGGAACCCTGGCAAGTGGAAACATGGACCAAAACCTGCGGTTTGCCCCTCCTGTTTAATTTTGAGCCACACCCAAATGGATGAAACAAAAAAACAAATCTAAACCAGAATCCATCCATTTCTGATCAATCCCGATCAAAAGGACACCTATGGTGTTGACACGGCCAAGTACCATTCCAACACCACCCCCCGCAACCCTTCCGGACTCCTGAGAACTCCGGAACCCTCTGGGGACAAACAAACAGCAGAGCTCAGGTGGGACACCCCCACTCAGTTGTTCAGCGACCCTGGAAAAAAGGGAACCCTTTTTGAGGCTTGGACCATTTATTTTTAGTGGGGCAGCCACCAAAAGACAAGGGAAAAAGAATTGGTGCCGCTGAACAACTGAGCCCATCCTGAAACAATGCCAACGGCTTAGTTTTACAAAGGCAACCTTGCTCAGGGCACTCACCGTGGCGAATTTGGGGATCTGATGCAGGAGTCGGATCCTGAAAAACCTGGTAATTGTAAAACAAATCAACATGGTCCAAAACGTATCCCTAAAAAAAAACATGGTCCAAAACGTATCCCATTGTAAAACAAATCAACATGGTCTCCAAAACGTATCCCTTTGCGCAAAAGGCAAGCCCGAGGGAAACCCAGATGAAATCTCGTTTTTTTGGCAGACCAAGAGCTGTTCTCAAAATTTTCCGCGCGAGCGGACGCGAAACTCTCGCCCTAAAGCGGGGCCTTACTGGGTGACATGTCCAAACAGTGAAAAATGAAGGCCTTCCCACCCGAAACCCACTCTTGACGGATCCAAAGAGACACACACACATGTTCACAACCAGCGATCCGTTAAATCAACTGGCAACAACAAGTCCCGCCACCCGTCCCTCGTTCACCAAAATCTGGATTCTCAAATGGGGTTGTCTCAAAGCATGGGAACCCTCCAAATGAGTGGCTTCTTTTTCTGGGCTGTCCGTTTTCCTGATCCCTGCAAAATGCTAAACCAACTTGTGGGTGAAATGGAAATCCAACCACTAAACCCACCAAAAACATCCGAAAACCTGAGGAACAGGATGGCAACCGCCAAGCTTTTACTTCCCCAACCAAACCCAGATTGGAGTTCCTTCAAATACAGACCCAATATGTAGCCCAGCGAGCTGAAAAAACAGCACATCATTTGTGCGTGTCTTTTTGTTGGGGCCTACCCTTGGTGTTGAAGGAAAACCGAAAAGAAACACCACCATTTTTGGATTCTCCTCCAAGCAAAAAAGACGAGCCACCCATTTCGTTTGAAGCTTCCCAGCCCTACAACGTCCTTACGCCTGGTAGCTCCCAAAGGCTCCCTGAAAGCAAAACTTGGATACCGGGTCCAAGCTCCGAGTCCGGCTCCGGTACAACCAACCAGGTTGCCCCCATGCTGTGCCTTCCCAAAATGTCCTTTATATGTATTTGGCTGTGGCTCAAAAAAACGGTACCAAAATGGAACCCTGGTAAGTGGAAACATGGACCAACACCTGTGTATCCCCTCCTGTTTAATTTTGAGCCACACCCATATATCCTCTCAAAACGAACATGGAACCTGAATGAGGCCCACTGGCAAGCTTACCAGGCTTACTAACCACTTACCTGACGTACCCTTCTCATCGATCGCCCATTTAAGTAGTGCATTTTTTCCCAAACCACCTCCTGGAAAAAAACAAACCAACCTGCTTTTCTGGCAGACCACTTCCCACCAGCCCCGCCGGCCCCTCCCCGCCAGCCCCTCCCCACCGCCTCCACCCGCGCGTAGAAGGGCGATTTCTTCACCTCCGCCAGGCCCAGCACCCGGGTACGCCAGCCCGCGGCGCGCCAGAACTGCTCCCAGGCCTGCCTCAAACGGCCCTCTGTTCATGAATCGAAACTGGTGGGGAGGGGAGTGGTCTGCCAGAAAAGCATGTTGGTTTGTTTTTTTCCAGGAGGTAGTTTGGGAAAAAGCACTACTTAAATGGGCGATCGATGAAGGGTACATCAGGCAAGTGGGACTCGATCTCTGCGCCTGAAGGATGGATGAAGTGTACGCCACTTCCATTTGCTTTTTCGTCCCCCGGGAAACATCAGAAAAACTGTCCACTAGTGATAGACTCCCTTTAAACCAACAAGTGAACACAACAAAATTGTTCTTAAGCAAATGGAAGGTCAGGTAAGTGGTTGGTAAGCCTGGCGTTGATTAACTCACTGAACGGAGCCTTTCACCATGGGTGAGTGGGTTGTACTGTGGTTGGAAGAATGGGGAATCAACCCTTAGAAGAATGATGATTCCCCTGTAAAAACCAACAAACAATGGCTTCCCATGGTTTCAACTTGGTGCGAAGTGGATTTCGTCCACAGTAAGTCTCCATGGGTTGTTTCACCAGGCTTACTAACCAAGGAAAGTACACATTTCCCTTTACAATAAGCTCAGGCGATATCCCCAACAGCACCCCACCCTCCCAGAACCCTCGTGGAACCCTCGTGGAACCCTCGTGGAACCCTGCTGGAACCCTGGTGGAACCCTGCTGGAACCCTGGTGGAACCTTACCTCAGGCCTGCCCCGAACTACCCCGGAGCCTATCTGGGCTGCAGCCCAGACCCCAAAGCTTTCAGCTGTTGGAGAAAAACAAGAACACAGGATTTGCGCCTCTCAAATGGGTGCGTCTTTTTTGTGCTTCGTTTCCCTCAAAACCAACCCCAAAAGAGGGCTCCCCAGAAAGGGCGGAAACCCTGGCGCCTCTCAAATACTCTGGATGGACGAAATCCACTTCGCACCAGTTTGAAACCACGGTTGAAACTTTTGAAACCACAACGTTTGTTGGCACTTCCAGGGGAATCGACTCATTCTAGGCTTTCTGAACGGCGCGGTGCGTGGGATTTCGCGAAACCATCCACATGCCGCGCCTCCGAAACGGGCTGCTCCCCCTCGATCCCCAGAAGCCGTGGAAGCTACGAAGCCCAGCGAACACAACGGAAAACCAAAAAATAAGCGGCTGGATGGGAAGCACCAAGCTAAATGTGTACATCAAAGCGGCCTTCTTAAGATAGATGTTTATATACATAGAGGGCCATTGGAGTTTTAAGCTTTAAAAACAAACAGGCGGCATAGGCGATTTAATAACGGTGATCTTAGTCAGATACTCATTTGTCTTGGGGCGGAGTTGTTCTGCCACCTCCTTGGTAGCTCCCGCTAAGAATCTTTAAGGGGAGTTTGGGCCAGGTCGTCTGTTGGATTTTTTGGTGAGTTCACCCTAGTTCCCTTCCAGGGAGTATAGCGAGAGCGGTCAAATGAATCCAAGGCTGAGAGTCCGTATATGAACCCAAGTCCATTTTGGAGCCTTGGGGGCTGATTTCCCATAATTCAGCCACAACTAAGGGTTACTTCAGCCATAAACTAGGGGATCATGCCAGGGCTTCATATATGGACGTATACATTCAGCCTTTGAATGAAAGATCCAAACGCGAGGGACAAACAGTTCACCACTCGCAAACACAGGCAACCGGCGTGCTATACAATGTAATACCTGGGCTGTCTAAACTGATCCCCTAGAAGTTTAACTTCTAGTGGTCTAAATGGAAACCCCCACGAAACCCCCACGAAACCTAAAAACGAGGGGATGGCTGGGAACCAAGATACAAGGGCCCAAATAATTACGCAGTCTTGCTTTAGGGGCGTTCTACTTAGTGGGTACTTAGCCTAGTTTTTCCCCACTTAAGCCATGGTTATTATAAGTCTCCGTTCAGTGGGATATAGCCATAATTACTCACCACTTACCTGACTTACCGATCGCCCTTTAAGTATCACGGGGGGGGGGGGTAGCACTTGAAACCCGAAAAAAAGGGACTCACCGGGTGTCTGAATCTCGATACAAGCTGCAAGGTCTGCGCACTGGCCTCCTTCTCCTTCGTCTCCTAACAACAAAAACTCTGAGTGGATCTGCAAAGTTTGTGCTACTTTTCATCGCGGACATCCGAAGCCTATCCAATCTTTGCGAGTTTCCAAAAGCGGAACTCGGGAATCCCCTAGTAAAGGATGTTTTAATCATGGCGCTCTGCGGCTCTGCCTCCCCATCGGTGCGCTCGCTATGCAATAGGCAGACGGATCTGTGTTTGGAGCGTGCCCTGGTTCGACAGCCAGGGAATGAGAAATGGAATGACCGAGAAAACCCTCCCATATGGCTTACTTTAAGGGAATCCAACCAAAAGGCTTCCCCAACGTCACCACGCCCCACAACCAGTTTCAAGCCCTCAATAAGCAGGTTTCTCCAAGACATGGGCAAAACATAGTAAGTTGTCTGGTTTTTGTAGGGTAGTTTAGCGAGTTCCCCCTTCTCGTCACTCCCAAATGAACCGTAGACTACTGAGTTGTGGCAGTCTTTACGGTATAATGAGCATATATGGGCCATGCAGGTGTTAAGCATTGTATTTGGACCCATTCTTCCGCCATGATGAGGTCATTTGGCCTATACCCCACCACCCCTTCATAATTCTTGCGGTATGGTGAGCATTTGGGCCATGCAGGTGTTCATATAGTATTTGAAAAAACATGCAGGGAAAAATATATTCTGGGGATGGTCCAATGGTGGGACCTGCTTTTCTGCTTTGCCTTTTTTGGGTGGGGTTTTGTTCGGGGTTCATGTCGGGCATCGGCATCGGGCTTCCCTTTATGTTGGGTTTGAGGCCGACTGTTTTTGGGGCGACCTAGGCCTGGGCCAGGAAAACCCGCAAACCGGTTTGAGTCTCTTCTCCCTTGACCAGAGTTCCTTTTTGGGCCAAGTCGTATTTTGAAGCCACACCCACCTGTTCGAATCTTGCCTGTTATTGGCGGGGGGGGGCTTAATTGATGGACAGTTTGAGGCATGTCCAGGTCCGATTTCCCGGTGGGATGGGTTGGGAGGCGGAGGTGGGGGCGGAGGCGGAGGTGGGGGCGGAGGCGGAGGTGGGGGCGGAGGTGGGGGCGGAGGTGGGGTGGGGGGGGGGGAGTCATTCATCTGCATCGCAACAAGTTTGCAGTTAGCCTGTGATCTCAGTTGATATCTGTTATTTGGTCGTGGGAATCATTCGACATAAACAACATGAGGATTGAAAAACCGGGGATGGTGCCTGATCAGCCGTTTAGTGGGACAAGGCCATGTGTCCTGAAAGAGAGAAAAAAAGGCGACTCCGATATCTTGGTCTGGAACTTGTGGGGAGCGATCCGCGGTTTGCGGGACTGCTCTGGCCCGTCTCTTGTCATTGTTCCCACTGAGCAAAACGAAATCACTCGAACCACCACGATCTAAGATGGTTTCCAGTGCCCACAAACCACTCCCCCAGGGTAAGTACCTGGAGTCTCCATGGCCCTTTAAAAATAGGTCCATGACCCCATTTCTTAAGGGTCATGGAGACTCCAGGTAATTATTTTTTACCCTTTGTATGGTGGCCATATAGTGGCTGTATATCCCATTAAACCTCTGGGGGGCGTGGTTTGGGGGTAGTGCATCTTACATAAGAAGAACAAACCACGACCCCAGTGCTTTAGTTCAAACCTCCCAAGCGCCCATGAGGTCATCCCCGAAAACCCATTTGGCTGTGGTTCAAAACCAATGGTACCATTTTGGGATAGGTGCACCACCCATTTTAGTCTATTTTAGTGGGGATTGGGATGTTCACTGGGGGTACGGGATTTTGACCCATGGCCATATCCCCGAAAACCCATTGTTAAGCAGCCCAAGCGCCCATGCCGGTTCGAAGAAGGTGTGCATCACCCCGGGGGTGTGCTCATTGGGCACAGCATCTTTCATCCATCTCGCCTGGGATTTCGACGAAAGAAAAAAATGCCAAGGCATAGCTTCCCTACTGTGGATGGACCAAATCCGTTCGCATTTTCCGAAAAAACCCATGGCTGAAACCATTTCGTTTGCTGATATTTATGTTGGGGAATCGAAAATCATTCGTATATGCTTCCCTATGACTCCCCTCCCCATTTCACATGGAAAATGGCCAAGCGAAAGGACCCCGAAACCTCAGCCATGTGTTGGTGGGAGGGTAACTGGCACTTCCGGAGTGGTAAACACATGGGTGTGGTTATCAAAATTAAACAGGGGGTGGCAGACCGCAGGTTTTTTGGCAACCATGTTTCCACTTACCAGGGCAAGCCATTTTGGTGCCGGGTTTTTGAGCCACAGCCACATAATGACCCTTATATTCACAGTGGGTGTGCTGCGTTCAGTGGGGAATCAGATTCGTTTGGGAGGTGTGTTTTTTTTCATTTCACCCCCCACCCCCACCCCACACCACACCAAAAAAAAATGGACAGGCCCTACTTAGATCCGGGGTCAACATTACTTCAGAGTACTTTCAAGGGGAATCCCAGTACAGAAAGTGGCCCTCTCTTTCAAACTTCTCACCAGGGCCTGGCACGGCAGGTTTTGGTCACACAGCAAAACCTGCTGCTGGGCAGGGAATGAGAAATGGGCAGGGACCCCAGAAAGAACAACAAAAAAAAAAAAAAAAAAACATGCCACTCTTCGGGAATCCAACCAAAAACCGGTTCATTCCCAACACCCGGAAGGGGTCATTCCGAAATTCACTGGGCACCAGCAAGCTTAAGCCCCCAGTGGCCTGTTCAGGCGGTCGCAAAGTGAAGAGTACTCAGAGTACACTCTTGGCCGCGTGCAGGACACCATTTATATAAGACAAACCATGACGCAAGGGCTGCTGGATTGAATAGATTCCCCAAATACTTTGAAACCATGAAAACCATTGTTTGTTGGTATCTACAGGGGAATCATCATTCTAGGGTTTCTTGGGTGGTGCGAAATGGATTTCGTCCATCCACAGTATCACATGTGTTTCAAGGAAGCTTGAAGAGGGGCACAACTCTTTGGGACGACAAGGGTTACTGGAGTCGGGCTTCGAAAAGCTCAAATATCCAGTGGCTTTCAAACGGGAGGGGGCCGGGGGGGAGGGGAACTCAACTTAGAAACCCAGAGCCAAGGCACCCCTAAAACCGGGAAAAGCCAAGACAAGGGGGGGGGAAGGGGGAAGGGGGGGAGGGGGCGAGAAGGGAAACTGAGAAACCCAGAGACAAGGAATACTGTGGATGGACAAAATCCTGCACCGTTCCGAAACCCTGGCATGCCCAACGTAAATACCAACAACTGGTTTCAACCATGGTGCGAGAAGCGGATTTCGCAACCATCCACAGGTGACCTCAGGCCAAGGCGCCAGGGCGGCTTTGGCCCGGCAGCTGTTCCCGGACTTGGCGTCCAGGCAGAAGGGCTTGGCAGCACTCTGCCGGCACAGCGGCGGGCACCGGAAGGCTCCCTGGCGCCGATGTCGAAGACCAAAAAAAAAACACAAATGGCCATGGGCCAAAATCCCGCACCCACTAAAGTAGACTAAAATGAGTGGTGCACCTAGCCCAAAATGGTACCATTGGTTTTGCCCCAGAGCCAAATCCGAATCCGAATTTTAGTATTCCAGGGGGGTTGGGTGGAGGGGGTGGGTTGGGTCGGTGAGTGGAGTGGCTGGGTTGGGTGGGCGTATGCCGCAGGATGGGTGAGCTCGCTATCAAATAGGCGGATCCCATCCTCCAAATGTTGGAAGCCCCAAGAGGAACCATTTTGAGCGGTGTGTCTTGAGGCGAGCCCTTTCTTGCTGGTGTCAAAGGGAAACCACAAGGAAAACCAGTATTTTGTGCATTCCCCTAAAAGACACACACACACACAAATGGTGTGAGCCAAATGTTCGAAGTGGCCAAATGTTCGTTGCCCACCAGACCCCATGTCTTGAAAAAAACGTGTCCGCGTAGACCGAAAAAAATCTTCGACCGCTGGCCACCGACCCAAATTTGATTTCAGCCGTGGGCTCCAGCGAGCCATGAATCATACTGTGGTCTAAAATTACTCTGGTGTTTCCCCAGGGTTCTTGGCGGTTTTTTGGAAAGACTCGGATCCCTGGGTTAAGAATGGAAATGGAAGGTACCCTTAGTTTGGGCTTCGTCTGACATTCCCATGGAACGGAACCCAGAGAAAGGAAAAATCAGCAGCAGGTGGTTTTTCGGCCGGGCGCTTTGGAGTGACACGGTGTTCTTTCCAAAGAGGAGCTGACCATATAGTGGTTGATCAAAAGGTCCCTTGCATAGGATGACCATTAGGCTTCGTGCTGGGGATGTGAACTCCAACGCACCACCGTTCAGAAAGCCGAGTGGCTGATTCGACTCCCCAAGGTAAATACCAACAAACGTCATGAAGTTTTAACCATGGTTTCATTTCGTGCGAACGGATCTTGATCCACAGTAGCTCTGGTAAAGGAGTTGTTCCCAAAGATGGTGAAGAATCAACAGCTCACTTCCGTGGATTGGCCAAGTACCGATTCTTATGTTGAACTCGAGTGAGGGAGGCAGTGACTGCCATTCCTTTTGCCAGGCCTACGGATCCAAAGCATCCAGACTTGACAAGAGTCATGAACATAGGTGATCTTTCTGAACAAGTTGATGGGATTTGCAAGCAAACTGGACAAAACAGTCTAAACCAGTGGAACCCCAAACTTACCCGATAAACAAAAGCGGCACTGGTCATTAACCTCTTGGAAACAAACAACATAAATGGAAGCGGCAGGGCCCCTGGAGCAAAATGCGGGAGCTTCCGGGTTCTTTTTTTGTGCTTGTGGGGAGGGCAACCCAGGCAACCCAAGTGACAGACAGTAAAATCTATCTCAACATTCACGTGGAACAGCCTGGAGTTCCAATGCAACATGCGAACTACGGCTTCCATTTGCTTTTTTGCGCCTGGAAAACATGAGAAAATATGTCCAGTGGTGAAATCGATTCCCTCTAAAACCAACAGGGGATTTTTTTTTAAAAAAAATGTATTCATTGCATTTTACCGGACGCTGGCGTCTTGATTCACAGCTCTTCCCATCTTCACAAGGCCTCCCCGCAAAAATTTGGCCGAAACTTAGGACTTGTCCTGGCCACCGTGGGGCCCCCGAAGGGGCTACGGCCTTGAACCCCGAAGCATCCGAATCGCCCCGGCGTCCGGCTTCGGCAAATCTGCTCCCGACCGCCTCTTTGTCAAACAGCTTCGGTCTTCCGCTTTTCCGTGGCACGTGCCATGATTTGGCAAAAAGTCTGTGAAGTTCTGAAGCGTCAGGTGCGGCTAGGTCCCGGCGAGTTCCTCTACAGATCATTGACTTGCGTTGAAAGTGTGGGGCTCTGAACATCGGCAAGAAGCAACAAGTTCCAACATGTTGGCGGGGTGTTTGATAGGCTTACCTGTGTTCTGCAACCTGGAATGGCAGTTTGGGTTCTGTGACAGATCCAAACCTTGCCCACGGGAAACTCCACACCAGGTGCCCACGGGTTTGCAACGAAGGCCGTTCCATTTCTGCAACAAGCACAAGGTTGAGGACTTCTCACAAGTGATGTGTCGTTAAACCTGAGGAACATCTGGTCCGTCCATTTTCGCAATACCACTTGCGAGGAAAAAAGTTAGCTGGACGCTCTCGAGGACAATGCCTGCCAAGAAGCCATTCTTTTCAGCCATCGTTCAATTCAAAAACCGGCATTTCTCCAGGGTTTTGGGTGGTTTTCTAGAAAGATTCGGATCCCTGGGTGAAAAATTGGAAGTTACCCCTAGAAACATGGCGGAACCAATCTCCACTAACATGCCCGGTTGGAAAAAAGGGGGGGGGACCTCCAAATGATTCACCCGGAGCCCCAGAAAGATGCCCGACATCTGCGCGCGACATCTGCGCGCGACATCTGAGGCTCACCCGGCCTCAGTACCCCGGCACACGTCCCCGTGCTTCTCTTGGCTGCTGTGGTCCTGGAGTCTCTCGCCCTCTCGCGGAACCAAACCCAAAACCAGTTTCCCTTGGCCCCCTGGCGAAAAAAGTCATAACATATCTTCAGCTCAGTTGCCCAGCTTGGACCCAGAAACAAAAGGTGATCACCTTTTGGGACCTTTACTACAAATAGACCAACTAGGAAAACCAAAAGGTTAAAAGGCCGATTCGGTTTGGGCAACTGAGTCAGTAGGGGAAATACCGTACATTCATTTCCTCAAATGGACGTCTTCCCTTCCTGAGCCCTAAGGCCTTAGGGCTTATCCTTGGCTCCTCATCCAGGGAGAACCTTTCTGGAGGTTTTGGTGTCCCTAACAACCCCTGAAGAAGGGCTCTCTCAAGAAACGACACACATCATGGTCGGCTCTTGCCATTGTTTTTTCGCGAGCAGCGGTGTCTTTTTGCATTATTGCCCATACCTGGAGTACTCCGAACAGTTAGTTTGTCACATCATGTTTAGTCTACCCTAATATGTAAAACCGTTTTGGAGGAGCCTGTACTGTGTGCGTTGTGTGCTCCAAGAAGTTGGAAAGGGGAGAAAAAAAGAAAAGAACAAAGTTTCCCTTTAAAGCCACAAACAAAGGGGCCCGGAAAAAAAAGAAGTAGTGGTTTCCCTTTAAAGCCACAAACAAAGCGAGGGTAAAGCCACAAACAAGAGGGGGCCCGGAAAACAACAAAAAGTTTTAGTTTCCCTTTAAAGCCACAAACAAAGGGGGCAAAAAAAGAGGCCCATTTGGGTTCCCTTTAAAGCCACAAACAAAGGGGCCCGGGGAAAAAAAAGGTGTCCCTTTCAAGGGGCCCGGAAAAAAAAGTTGTGGTTTCCCTTTAAAGCCACAAACAAAGGGGGAAAAAAAGAGGCCCATTTGGGTTTCCCTTTAAAGCCACAAACAAAAGGGGGCCCGGAACAAAAAACAAGTTTCCCTTTAAAGCCACAAACAAAGGGGCCCGGGGAAAAAAAGTGTCCCTTTAAAGCCACAAACAAAGGGGCCCGGAGAAAAACAACAAAAGTTGTGGCTTCCCTTTAAAGCCACAAACAAAGGAGGGAAAAAAGAGGCCCATTTTGGTGTCCCTTTCAAGCCACAAACAAAGGGGGAAAGAAAAAAAGAAGAAAAAAAAGACCATGTCTGTGCCCACTCCTCGAGCTGCATGCCCATGGGGCAAAGGTCCACATCGAGCCAAGTCGGCGGATCTGACACCTGGGTCACCTGAGGATGATGGCTTCGCTTGCTCGGAGGTCGATGGGCGCTTGATATGGTGGTGCTTTGCTTGGTTGGTTGGGTTGGCTTGGCTTGGGCTTGGTTGGCTTGGGGTTGGCGTGCGCTTTTGGGCTTCCTCCACCTCAGTTTGGCTCCAAAAACGGTCTGGGCTGGGCTGGCTGGGCTGGGCTGGGCTGGGGGGTGAATGGGCCGGTGGTGTTCGCGTGATCCTCAGCTGGTTTTCGACTCTTGCTTGGTTTGATTGGTGGTTCATTCCTCCCTTGGTCTCCGCAATCAAACTGAAATTACATCGGGGATCATAACTACTCAGATGCCCAGTGACCATGAGAAAACGAGGCAGCTGTTTTTTCGGCTGGTTGAATCTACAGGGGAACCTGTCCCAAAAAAGGGAAAAATGCGGAATCCACTGGGCAACTGGGACTCGCTCCGCGCATCCTCTCGACTCTCGACTCCCATCTAAGGCCAAGCGGCTGCTACCAGGGTATTCCAGGTGAGAAAGAGCGACGCAATCAGCACGAGCCATGACTTGCAGCAACATTGGCTGCATCTCAGTGCCATCCGCCCGAACACATGGGGTTGATCAATCTTCCATGGCTGACGTTTCCCATTTCGTGGGACAGATCATAAATCTTTCTAGCGTCCTTCCAACCAATGGTCTGCCCATGTAAAGGGCCTTTTGATCAACCTCCACATCTGGATTTGGCGCAAATCCTCATGGTGCAGCTTGATCCTCAGAGGGCCTTGGCTCGCCTTGTTTCGAGCGCAAGTGCTCTGCCGCCTCCAAGGTTGGTTGGAAAATCGACGGACCATGCCCTGGTCATTTCAAATGTCTTCTTGGTATTAGCCCCCAGCATCAACTGAGGTTTAGAAGCTGCTCTTCTCATTAAAGCGCCTGCTCTATGTCCGTCGCTTGCTGTGAGCAAAGTGCTCGTTGAACTCGTGTCTATGCTGGAGGATGGTTGTTTCCTACGTTTGTCTGCTAGCGTTTGAACTTGGCAATCCAGGAATTGATCGCTTTCGGCTGCGGGCGAGTCCAACAAGCAAAGCAGCACCTGGCACGACGTGTGTGTTTGTGTCTTTTTGAAGGTACCATCCATTTGCATAAGTCCCTTCCAAAAAACAGAACATATGTCCGGTAGTGATAGACTCCCTTGACAGCCACCAGGAAATAAAACATAAGCCTTTTCAGGCTGGCTTCAAGGGATCTCCGAAAGGACTGCTGCTGGGCTGGGGGGGTAAAGGGGCTCTCTCTCACTTGCCAGAAGTAAGCAAGCTCCTTCTTTGCCACTCAAATGGTCCCAATTTACGGGTGAGTTGGACAAATATCCCTTGGTTTCCTTATGGATGGCATAAAAACAAAACAATCTCAACCCAGAACCGGCCGATTTCTGGCCACCCCAACCCATCAAAAGCACACCTCTGGTCTGTCAGATCCCCTGCCGACAGCTGGTCACCTGCGGCGAAAAAAAAAACGGGCACCCAAGCACCAAACCAACTCAAGACGTCCAAAAACCCGCCCGGAACCGGACAACTCGCTGGCCAACACGAGGCCTGGAACCGGAATCCAACACGATCTAAGTGTTGACACTTTAAGTGAGCGTCTCAAGTCCTCAACTCGAGCACAGCTTCCCACTCTTCACCCTCTCCCCGATCCATCGATCCCCTCCTCCGTAACGCTCCTGGGAAGCGAAAGACGGGAGGGAGGGAAGCAGGCGCGACCGAAAAAAATGTGCGGACCAAGTTGCCCCGGTCGAAAGGGTGGATCCCTGTTGATTGAGTCTTAGGGTATCCAATTTGAAACCAATGCTATGATTGGCCCCGACTCCCGAAATGAAGCTTATTGGCTGTGCATTTCGGCGTTCAGGTGCTTTCTTGTGGGATGTGGCGGCCTCCAATCGATGCCACAGTTTCTGACTGCCTAAAGGCCACTTTTTCCAGAAGAACCCGTGTGGTCAAACAAGTTACTGGTTGGACTTTGTTGACGCTTTTCACGTCAACCAAATCACGCCTAAGTTCATGGCGTGTTCCCCTTCAATCCTGTCATCCTTTGTGGCGTTTGTGCTAAGCACACCTCAATACTCAAGTCTCCCCCGTGCCGCAACATTCCTCCAATGATGTATTTGGACCGGTGGCAAAAGGGGAGTGGACAACAGAACAGAATACGGGGCGTCTTGACGCCTTGCAAAAGAAGAGGTCTTCGCAACCAAGGAACCCGTTGTCCAGTTTAGCAGACAAATGGCCCGAAAGAACGGGCCAGCCAAGGTCTAAAGGTGCGTGTGGTCTGCGTGTGTCTCAGGATTGGGCACCCCGCAACACAGTGACTTTCCTTTGGTTTCCTTTTAACCACCCCACCTCGCCGGTGTCTGTTGAAGACACACCCAGTTCGGGAAACCGCGGAATCGATGGTTTGAGGTCGTGCTTACCCAAGCGCTTCCGCGCTTCCCACGTACTACGTGCCAAGTGAGGTTCAATTGCGCAGCGCTTTGCGTTCCACTAACCGCTGTGGATGGTTGCGAAATCCATTTCGCACCACCTTTGAACTCCTGGGGTGATTCGATTCCCCTACATAAATACCATCAAACGTAATGGCTTCAACCATGGGCTTCAAAGTGGTGCGAAGTGGGTTTCGATTTCAACCATCCACAGTATGCTCAAATTTTCAGGTGGAAAAAGGGCCTTGCCTGGCAACTGCCCTCAGATCCCCCGCTAAAAGTTCAAGTTTTAGTGTGTCAAATGGAAACTACCACTAAACCCTAAAAGCACAAAAGCCCCGAGACCTGTCCAGCCTGTGACTTAGGCAGAACCATCCCCACCCCCCGCTAGCACCAAGCGGGGGCTATTGGGGGCCCGGGCCGGTGCTCCAGCTGAGGGCCCAGCCACCACGGCCTCACAAGGACCGGCGGTCGAACCACTTCCCAGCCGAAAAAAAGAAAAGGAAAAACCTGCCAAAGAAGGTCCGGCCAATGTTTGTTTTAAAAAAACCTGCCCAACAAAAAATCGGGCCAAGCTTGTAGCTTTTAGCAAGCTAAAATGGCAACCGAACCTTTTTTTTCGTGAACAGTCATCAGCCGCCCGGACCTCTGAGCTCGCGATGTGAGAACGCGCATAACATGCGTCGGAAGCCGACAAAACAACAGCAGATCAGTCAAACGAAACAGAGGCCCGCGAAGAGAAGGCCCAGTGACCACGATATGCTGATTGGGCTTAGGGCGCCCAGAGACAGCTGAAACGGCATTGCGCAGCTGCAGCAAAATAGCGAAAAGGTGCTGAGCGTGCTGGTGGCGGAAAGGCTCCCTACCCCAATCGGGTGGAAGTATTTGATGTTCTTCAACGGCACAAAGGATTTGCCACGCCGTGGAGGACTCGCTTAAACCCGGCGCGAACCCGGGAGCAAATCAGCCCGATGGACATGGTCTCATCGATCCAGCCAATGAAAAAGCCATGAGTGGCGACAAACTCAACAGCAAGAGCCAGCCACGTAACCTTGCGCGCGTCACCCTTTCTGCCAAGCGACAAAAATTTGCAGAAGCTGCAAAGTTACAAAGCGCATTAAGGGCCTGTTGAGGGATATCTTTGGAGCCAGTTCTCTGAACCTGCCCCTGCACCGGAATGAGCGGAACAAAGTCGCGATTCGGAGGGTTGATGTGAGAAATCATACCCCGAAAGCCCAAAAGTTCCTTGAAACACTTGTCCGGGACCTGCCTGGTCTCGTCTTAAAAAAATATTTAGAAACAAGTCCTTAGGGTGGTAGAGGTTCTGAATTAAAAAAACCTTGGCACCCTTGGCACTGAAGTGTCTGCGTTCCAACGTTTTGGCAGGCTTACACGTGCACGCCAAAGTGGCAGGGCCAGTTTCAAAGTTCGAAAGCCAAGGGCGCTGCCTCAGCTCGTGATTGTCGTCAAACCATTCTCCCTGCAGGGTGTTGTTCAAGCGTTGTCTAGCAGCAACGATAGCCACCAAAGAGGATTGGCAAGCTACTGCGTTGGTCAAATGGAGGTCGAGGCTTTGCAAAAATTCCTTCTGCCACTCTTTTGCAACTTCTCTGGCAGCAGCATCTACGATACGGTTTCCTTCGGTAAATTCCGGAGGTTGGGAAGGGTCGCGTCCATGAGCTCGGACATGCACAAACTCAACGTCGGGGCCTCTTTCTTCAACCTCCTGCAGGCCCTGGATGGCTGCCATCAAGTCCCGTTGGAAATGTTGGCTAGCTCGTTCTTGGTCTCCACCTGCGCACTCTTGAGCGCGCCGACGTCGTTGCTCATCTCCTGCATCTTCTGCTCGAGTTGCTCTTCCCTGGAGTTCAAACTTGAAGCACCGAGAGGGGTAGCGGGAGGTCGGGTCGCGGAACTGGTTGAAGCAGTGGAGACACTGACGACTGAGGACGAGTTGTCCGAGAGACCCTGCTTCCCTTTCCCCTTGCCTGTTGCTGTTTTCGGGACACTGTGGCTCGTGTTGACCAAAGAAGGCTGCGGGGCTGTCATCCTGGGTTGTTGGGAAGCCCGTTGGTTCTCTGCCTCCTGGATCTGGATGACACCTGCCGTAGTGTGGATCCGTGCCTGTGGTGGGGCATGTTGGGATGTCACACACATCACGCTGAGCTGGCGGAGGTTGATCACTCGTACCGGGACACACGGAAATTTGGCAGCCTCCGCGACCGCCACCACTTCCTTCCACGATGTCCCTGACTGAAAACCCAAACCTTGCCACTCTTGATGCCCCGGTTGAAGTCGTTGAAGCGCTCGTCGTTGGGGAACAAAGTCCTCCGAGCAGCTGCCAAATTTGCATCAGCGAGTCTGATGAAGCAGGTGGACTTGTTGTGGAAGATGCCTAGGTAGCCCTCCTCTTGCTGCGCTTCTCTGCAACCTTGGAGAGGGGGCCGTCGGCCCAACTTTTTGTAGAGGTTATGCTTGTCGCCCTCAGGAATCTGAAGCCTCATG